ATAAAAATAAAAAAAACTTGAAACTCCAACAAACAAACAAACGACAGGCGAAGTGCCACACAATGGAGAACATCAGCAAGATATTCACGCAGGCCAGAGAAGATGACCAAATTGTATTCAAGGTAAACGTTAAAACTTTTTTAAACAACCAAACCTATCAAATGTAAATTGTTCGTATCGGATAATTCATTTATAAAAGTCACTAGCTTTTATCTAATGTTGGTTGAATGGAAAAAAAAATCCCGTCTTTTTGTAAGTGTGCATTATGTGACGTTCGATTCGTGTGTACCTACTGTACGTTGAGTGTGACTGCAATGTGTTAACGTGTAATTTTTATGATATATCCATTTGTATATTTTTAATTACGTATAGAATATCGTTAAGTTTTGCACGCTCTGAGTATTTCATATTTTAGTTAGTTTGGATATTATATGTATGTATCTGTGAAAATCGTATGATCAATTAATTGAAGATGCTGTCAATGTTTTCTTCTTATTTGTGGTTTCATTATTTTATACTTTTAATTACTTTCAGCCTGCATGTTGATTTTAAAAAAGTTAAGCACTTTGTTTTTAAAAGATTTTCATCTAATTGTTGCATTACAATTAAAATTGCCAAAAATGCTTTCACGAGTAAATATTACAAATTTTAATTTTTCCATTATTAAATGAAGCATTGTAACTAAAGTTTTACATAACTAAATTAAATAAGTATTATTTAGTTATTGATTTCACATTTGAATTATTAATGGAAAAATTGTTCAAACTTCCATTCGCATTCAATTAAATAAATTAAAACTTGAATCAATGGAGCTGTTTATTCGAAATGTTTCAATTCGTTTACAAACTCTACCCTAAGGCGCATTTTGAATTTTTCCACTTCTCTTCAGGCATTGTTTACAAAAAAATTTTTCTTCTCTGAGACAGAATTAAAAAGACAACCCGGCAATTGAGTTTGTTTAAATTGATCCTCCCTCGTTCGTGAGAGCTCTATGCTTGCGATGATAACAACACATCTTTCAAATTACAGACATCATCATTTATAGGCAGCAGTGTTTAAAAAAACAACAGCGTATATAACAACAATTACAGACAGAAACAACTTTCAAAGAACCACCAACAATTACAAAACATAACATGTAACGCATGTAACAACAACAGCTGCAACAACAACAACAAAAGAATGATAGGGTTTCTAATTCAATTCATTACATTTTAATACTTATTACATTACTATTCTGTCGTATTCTAATAAACAATTTGCAAATATTGATATTTTATTCAGTATCCATTACTCATTGATACTACTCATAATTTTACTGCTCCTAGCTAATCTTACCTTCAACAAAATTAAACTTATAAATCAAATTTAAAATCCAAATCAAAATTATAAATCAAACGCGCATACAATAATTAGTAATTTATTTATATGTGTCATTTTGTTACTTCGTTATAATTATTTGATAAAAGTTTCGTTAAGTTGGAGCAATTTTTGTGCGTTTCATTTGATGTAACGGCATGCAATTGCAGACAAATGGTTTATCATCTCGGATGATGTTGTCTCGATGGGGTTTCATCAATCAAACTTCAACCGGCAACAAACATTTTTTCACGGTGTTCATTGTTTGAATTAGTTAGCTGCTATTTTTTTTATCGCCAATCCCATACATTTAGGTTTTTAGCTTTTGATGGTTATCAGCGCGTTGTTGAAGTTTTGTAATTGTCTCGCATTTAACATTTTTACGTCATTCGATGAAATAAACAATCGCACCATTCAATGAAATTATCGATTACACTTTGTTTTTAATCTACTTTGAAAATTTGGTCAACTCATTTCGTGAAGATAATTATCTCGAAGATTTGTTTTAAAAAAAAAGTTAATAGAACGTGGCGAACAGATTGGTGCAAAGTTTATTTTTGAAAATAAGGATTTCTATTAATCATCTTTAAAATTAAAAATCGAAAATAGAGTACTAAATATAATAGAGAATAGAGCAAAGTTTTATCGCAAATTCAATGAAGAGCAGCAGAGATTTGTAACAGCTCCTACCACACACACTTCTTCCTCAGTGAGTGTTTATTAAAAATTGCCGCCTAAATTAATATACAACGTAATAAAAAAAGCGATGTTCTGGAAAGTTGGGCCCGATGTCTGGCATTGTGAATGAGTCCAAGAGACGATGTTGTTCAGTTCAGGCATTAATTAACAGAAGAGTACAATTGAAAACACTTGTTTCAATTACGGCATATAGTTTTTGGTTGTGAAATTATTTTGATTTATTGTTTTGAGATATTTTTAATTCATTTTTTATTCATTTATGTTTCGTTTAATATAAAATTTAGCATAAAATATAACTTTAAACACAAGACTATACTTAAAATATTAGTTGAAAATTAATTTGCATCGCAATTTATGAAAAAGAGCTGCTTACATGCTCGCGTAAATAAAACAAATTTAGACAATATACAATAAAAAATATTAATGAAGTTGTAGATTTCTATACATTAACAGGTTCACGTACACATACATGCACTCACACACAAAAAACTTTATACTCACACACACTCACATGCACACACTCGCACACGCATACACATCATACTATATTGACTCACGTAATGTGAAAGTGTGCCGAATCAGCCGTGTAGTACTTCTTTAATGAAGGAATAATGATTCATCAAATGTGAATGAATGTTTATTGGTTGGTTCATGGACTTGAGCAGAGCACCACATTTTTGCATGCTGGTTGTATGTATAACAACAATTCATCGATGCATGCATTTGTTTTGTTATAGTATTTTCTCAAAAATTGAACATGTTGTTTGAACAAGAAAACATCACACACACACACACACACACAACACACCACACACATACACACACACACACACACCACACACATACACGTAAATGTTTATATTTTTATAACCTGCGTAAACACTCTTGATTGCATTGCATGAATGCTACACTCTTGATTGCATGGCTACAATTAAAAATATTGCATCTGAGTTGGTGTGAAGCATCAATGTTGATGCTGGCCCTTATGAAAGGTTCCAACATACAGTGATATCATTACATGATCGCAATAACATTAAGTTTCGTTTAATTTTACAGGTGACTAAAAAATTTGGAAAAATTTCGCCCGAACGATGAAATATTCGCTCAATTGCATTTTCGCCCGAAAATGGAAAATAATTTTTCGAATAATTTGCCCGCAGGATCATTGGAAAATGTTGAAATCTTACATTCCAATAACAACCATTATAATTTACGACTAGCCGAATCAATACTCATAGAACAAAGACATCAGATAATAAATATTTATATTTAATTTTTAAATTTTTTTATCGGCTGGTAACAAACATGTCATCATGTGTTATAAATTTTTGAAAAGATGCGTCATAAACGTTATTAACGCTATAATAAGTTTATCTAATAAATGCATTATTTACAATATAATCAAATTCCAACAAATTTCAAAAGTCGGCTAAAAATAAATTGGTCGAAAACTTCTTCGGACGAATCTTCCATCGTTCGCACGAGTCCTTAATCGTACGTTATATAAGCATCATCTCATTGTGATTACTTTTTTGTAAACAAAATTATGTTTCTTATATATCAAACTATCATTTAAATGTTTTATTAACCGATAGTTTTAAAGAATGTCTTCAATCAATTGATATTTTTTAGTTTGTAGAGCAGAAGGACCACAGCACGCTGCAGACCTTCTTGAAGAGTCACAAATCATTCCTCGGAGTGACGGACGCCAAAGGTCGAAATCTGTTGCACGCCTCAGTAGCCACCTCCCACATCCAAACCATGACCACCTTGATCAATCTCGGAATCGGTAATTTTGTTTTTAGAATTAAATTTGCTTTTGAAATAAAAACAAAATAAAATTGAATTAAATTTAATTTAATTTACGAATGAATGAAGACAGATGACCATGCTGTTGCTAGCTCTGAAGTTCAAAAACTGATATTTTTTCAAATAGTGATAATTTAAATTACCACATCCATCCAAGCACGGCCACTTACGTTGTTGCTACGTTGCATCTATCTCGTTATCTACATTAATTAATTATTAATCTACATTAATAATTAATTAAATAATTAATTAACCAACTGTAGAGGTTTCAGTGTCTGATTTTATATCAAATGTAAATCCCATTAAGAAACTTTTAACCACCTGCAACGATTCAGTGCATGTCAGAGTTGCATAAAAAGTCAGAGACAATTAATTTTTCCACACAAGATAGGGCATACGTGCATACGTACATACAAAATGTTTGCACTGCGTCGGGTCCAATTTGGCTGCACAGCATTATTGGAGCGAATATGTCTCATCACATAAAAATAAAATAAAATAAATAAACAAGAAAGAAAGAAAATAGAATAAATAGCTAGCAGGAAAATGTGATTGGTTAACCTTTTAGGCAAACAATCATTTTATTAAAACAACAAATATGGAATATGTGCCAATCCTTGTTAGCATGCGTTGTTAGAAGAAAATTAAATAAATAATAGTACTTTATGTACAAAGTTTCAAAAATAACCAAATCCACGCAACCTCAACATAAGTTGTTCGATACAGAAAAGCTAGACATACTTGCTGTTAGTCATAAGCAAGCAGGCAGGCGATGCTCGTCGTGTCCCTGATGCCAATACTGCCAATATGTAGTAAATGCTGAGTGACACTAGCAAATTTATAAATGAAACTTTTGAAAATGCCGTTAAAATAATCTTTCCATTAATTTTAACCTATTCATTTAGTTACGAACTATCATTTACGTTTATTTAAACAAATAGGCTGTTGGTCTCTTTCTTGGCATATTATGAAATGAATATATAAAAATATTATAGCTATAATTATAATTATAAACGTTTCAATTATAATTAAATCAAACATAATCCGAACAATAAACGTTAAATAAATTATAATTAAATGTTGATATTGAAAGTTTTTTCACCTAACTTCACCTGAAATTTTTTGATCGCGCTGAAGACATCAACGCGCAGGACCGAGAAGGAAACACTAGTTTGCACGAGGCAGTTGAGATGAACCACACGACGAGCATCGCCTGTCTGCTTGCTCACGGTGCCAAAACAGAGATACTCAACAGGAAGAACATGGCGCCCACTCATCTGGCAGTCGATCTCAACAGAATTGATTCGCTTAAAGTGGATTTTATAGGAATTTTGATCATTAAAGAGAGCTTGATTTTTACTTTTGAAAAACATTTCTAAATCAAAATGAAATAAAAAAAAACTTTGAATTTCTAAATAACTCTAACAAAAAGTAACAATATCAACCAAAAATGAAATGTTTCTAAAGGAGTTGCTGAGCCATTCATCGTCGGATCCAAATGTTCCAGGAGAGAACGGATCAACTCCTCTTCATTACGCGGCATGGAAGGACAGACCGGAATGTGCCAGGATCCTGGTTAGTTGAATTTAAAAATACTGAAATGCACGATTATGTAAATGGGAGTAGGATGTAAAATTGAATTTCGTAAATAATAACATGAATCCAGCTGGATCACAAAGCTCTCATGTGCAAGCCAAATAACGTTGGCTTGTTCCCACTGCACATTGCCGCGCAGTCATCATCGTCAGCCACGATGGAAGTGCTGCTGGAATATGGTGGGTAGTACTTTTATAGTCTTGCTTCAAATCTTTTATTCAAATGAAATTCAGATTATAAACTTCATTGAACATAAAAAATAGATGAATAATTGTACGTAAAGACAAGTTACAATTAAATTTACTCTACTGACGTTAAAAATAATTTAACTGTGATGTGGTTTTATATTTGAAAAAACGTTTTATAATAAACCTTTATCAGATTTTAACTTTTTCATCAGTTGATAGTTTGATCTTTTTGTGATCTCTGGGTAATTTTTAATGTTCGACAAAATCATCACAGCGGCGAAACTTGGATGCGGCAACAGAGGCCAGCTGTTGAACAAACTGAACCAGGAGAAGCACACGCCCCTGCACGCTGCCATCATGGGCGGCGACCTCAAGGTCAGTCAATCATTTCAATACGTCATCAAATTTTTATAGCGCAACCATTATTTTTATCTAATGACATTATTATGATCGTTTTGTTTGTTTTATATAATGATAATATTATGATTGTTTTTTTTATTGAAATGAATGTAAAATTATATATACAAATATATATATATATATATATATATATATATATATATCGGAATAAGACTGTCAGAAATGTAATTATCGATGAAAATCACAGCATTTTCGCACTTGATTGTGCGTTTAAGTTTGTAGTTGACATCAGCGTTGTTCCAAATTGCTTTGCAAAGCACGTAATTCATTCTTTGTTTTTGTTATAAGCTCTTTTTTGGTTAAAAAATTGGAAGTTAACTAATGCCGAACATATATATTAATAGTACTAATTTTTTAAAATGATTCCTTCATTGCTGCCTAAATTGTTAACACACGAAGGTGGTCAAATTGTGTTTGAATGCTGGGGCAGATATGAAAACGAAACAGGTTAAAAGTTTATGAATTATTTTAATTGAATTGTTTTTCATCATCTGAAATGTTTACTGATACCTGAGCAGGAGAATGGCAACACAGCGGTTCATTTGGCCGCTTCCCAGGGCAGTGTTGAGTTGATCAAGTTGGCCCTCATTTGTTTTGTTTTGTTTTGTTTACATCTATTTATGAAATGAAATGTTCAACTATGTTACGTTCAAGGTTGATGTTTGAATTGAAACCTGAAGAAAAAGAGACCTGCTTGAAAATCACGAACGAGCAAGGTCACACACCACTGCACGAAGCTGCGATGGCTGATCGCCACAAAATGGTTGAATATCTCATTAAGGAGGTCACACAGTTATGAACATTTGTTGCGTGAATTCTGCATTTTACATCTTAAAGTTGATTATTCAAGTATTTTAAACCAAGGCATTATTTTTTCTCTGCTTATTAAATGCAGGGAGCGGAAGTTGACGCCAAAACCAATGACGGCAGGAACGCATTGTTGCTGGCTGCCACCAAACCAGCATGGCGCTCCTTGAATATTCTACTTTCGGCGAAATCCGACCCAAGTGTTAAAGACAAAAATTTGAGAAACTTCCTCCACCTTATCATACTGGGAGGTTCGCAACCATCAGACTGCAACATTTGTTTGGCCAGGAAAGTTAGTGGTGTTTAATTGAGTTGGTAGATTTCGATTGAAGGACGAATAAAATTTGTTGACAGCTGATGTCTCAGTTGCTTAATGAATCGGACAAGTTTGGTTGCACACCATTACATTATGCTTCAAAGAAAGGCTTCCTAAAAACCATAGATCAACTTCTCGAAATGGGAGCGCAGTTGAATGCTAAAACCAACAAACAACAATCAGCTCTACATTTTGCGGCTAGGTCGATGAATGATGATAAAATCATAATTTATATTTCGTTAAAATTATCCACTTTAATTAATAAAAAATGTTTCCACTTTGAAACAGTTGTGGACGAATCAACACATGTAAGCAGTTGTTGAACAGCTCGTCCTGTTGCCACATAATCAACGAGACGGACAGTTCTGGTCAGACGGCACTGCACCTGGCAGCCGAAGGTGGACACGACAGGGTGGTCAGTCTGCTGCTCAGCATGGGAGCTGGTGTCTTCAAGTTAACATATTTGCTCATCTAACAAACATTTATGATAATATAGTTAGATTGATTGACAAAATAGTTGACACCCTTCATTGTAGGGACATAAACGGCAATACAGCTTTGCACCTAGCCGCAATGTGTGGATACACGCACACCATGCGAGCTATCCTTGCAGTGCATTCCTATCTTATCAACGTTTCCAACAGAACCATGGTGAAAAAATTATAAATAATTTTTAAAATTATCTTAAATAAATTATTATCTTTTTCAGATAATTTTTTATTACTAACAAAATTCGTTTTTGTGAAAATATTTTCAATGAATATATAATTTTAAAATACGAATGAGAATATCTAATTTTCACGCTGCAAAAGAACACCAGCCTCCACCTGGCAGCCCTGGAGGGACACGCGAATGTGGTGACGATGCTGTTGAACATGGGGGCAAAGATGCTGTGTAACGAAGATGAGCTGCATCCGTTTGAGTTGGCCATTCGGAGATGTGACCGAGATGTCTGCGTGTCTTTCGTGGCCCACGAAAGGTTACCTGTACAATTTTTAGTTTTATAAAATTTACATAAAATTTTAATAATTATAAATGTTTGGATTGAAAATATTCAAACTATTAAAATAATTATAAATGTTTTGATTAAAAATATTCAAACTATTAAAATAATTATAAATGTTTTGATTGAAAATATTCAAACTATTCAGGTGGAAGGAAGCGATGAGTATGAAATCAAAGTTGTTTGGCTGTCCTATGGTCGGCATGATTGAGTTCCTTCCTGACGTCTGCCTGGTACCCGTTTCATACTTCACTATCACAGATGACACGTTTTTATATTTAATAAAATTTGTTTAAATTATTTTGTGCCAGATGATTTTGGACCGAAGTCGAATTCCTTCTGACCTGGATAAAAAGGATCCAGATTTCCACGTATGCCCACCAATTTTATAATCACCTGGTTTTCAAAAACAATAAAAACTTAATCAGATTAAACTAACAAACAACAAATACAACACATGCACCAATCAAATAATACATTTTGAATCATTCGCCTAAATAATCACCCTCAACAACAACACAACAACAACACAACAACAACACAACAAAAAACAACAACTCAACAACACAACAACAACACAACAAAAAACAACAACAACTCAACAACAACACAACAACAAACGACAGTATGTGTACAATTTCGAGTATCTGCAAGTGGATTACGATATTCTTCACGATGAAAAGAAGAAGGGCAAAGAGATTCTGCCCATGCTTGCTTTGAACGTTAGATGTGTTGAAATAGTAATTATTTCGAGTTAATAAAAATGTTAACACGTGTGAAACATTTCAGATGATGGTGAAGCATAACAGAGTCCAGTGTTTGTATCATCCTCTCTGTGTAGCTTTTCTCAATAATAAATGGTTTCCATTATGTTCGTTGATATAGTACTTGCAATTCATTAAAATCAAAATTTTTGACAGGTTAACCTACGGTCTGTGGCTCCATCTATTGAATCTCATTATTTACCTCGTGTTTCTGTGCTGTTTGACTGCCCTTGTGTTTGCATTTGATTTCAAAAATTATGATCAAGTCTTGAAAGAAATGGAAAGTTTCAACTTAAATCCATTTAATGCGTCGATAGCTGCAGCAAACAATGTTACAGAGGAAATTTTTCTGAAAAACATAAAAGAAAAATCATCAGTAATCTGTTTCATTTTTTTAAAATTATATAATTAATTCAATAAGTGTAAATAATATTTTCAGATAAATAGCACGTCGCAGAAGTTTTACATAAACGTAATTTTAGTTTTTGCAATTGCCAACATGATTAAGGAGATTTTACAGATGATTCAGCAGGTTGCTTACGTTTTCATCATTGCATTTAACTGAACAATTTCATAAAATGTTTTTAAAAAACTATTTGTTGGAAATATTAAAAATTGGAAAAAGAAATCGAGATACTGGAAAGATATAAATAACTTGAGAGAGTGGCTAACATATGCACTCTGCGTGGTTTTTGTCATTCCATTCTATACTGAGCAGTGGAACGCTTATCAGTGGCAGTGCGGTGCGATTGTCGTCTTCATGTCCTGGTTCACCTTACTAGTTTTCTTGCAGAGGTACTTTCCTCTTACATTGTCTAACAACTCTTTATTAAAAATTTATAGCTCATGTTTATAAGTTTGTCATTTTATTGAATTCTAAGTTTAGTTTTGTAGTTATAAACAACGCGATGGATTTTAAAAAATTATTGTTTTATATTAAAGTTTTACAGTTGTGATTTGAATCGACCAAATTTTAACTTGAAAATAGGTTTGATGTATTTGGCATTTATGTGGTGATGTTTCTCGAAATAATGAAAACCCTCATCCAAGTTATTCTCGTTTTTTCTGTTCTCATCTTTGCTTTCGGATTGGCCTTCTACATTTCCCTAAACACAGGAGTAAGTCATATTTTTTAAAATTCATAATGACAAATTTATATTTTATTCAAATTTTATGCGTTTGCACTGAAAAAACTGCCTGTACCAATAATACATTTTTAGGTGTCACCTTCTTTCAACTCTCCCAAAATGTCTTTGATGACATCTGCAGTCATGATGTTGGGAGCCATCGACTTCTACCAAGTTTGGGTTGAACCGGATTCAAAAGACCAACTGCCCAACAAAACGTTGAACTACATGATCCTCGCTCTATTCATACTCATAATGCCTATTTTGCTTATAAATTTGTTGGTTAGTAATCCATAACTTTTTTAAATAATTACTTTGTTTGATGGATTGCAAATAATAATTTTAAACAATATAAACATTAGATTGGTTTAGCCGTCGGTGATATTGAAGCTGTTTTGAAAGATGCAAAATTGAAAAGAATTGCCATGCAGGTAGGTACCTATATTTATTTTTGTTATTATTAACAGCCTACCAGTAGTAACTAATTTTTATAAGTTTTGTTAACTCAAATTAATCACCACGAAATGTTTAGGTTCAATGGCACACAGAACTCGAACAAAAGTTTCCGAGACGTTTGATTAAATTCATAGACAAGCCATTCATCAGGGTGTACGCTAATCCTCGCTGTTCTCTTTTTAGATCCGTAAGTGTCGAAGGAAGCACAATATTTCATTTGCATAAAATAATTTTTTAATCGTATTTAATTAATAAAAATAAATGTATCTTTTATAACTTTGAAAGGTTACTGCAAATTTTTTAAAATTCAACTCGGCTGGATTTGATGAATCGGATGACATGAAGAACGAGATGGATAATCATTCTTGTCTCTTCAGAGAATTACACAAACAAAAAATTAGGTAAGCCTTCAGTTTTTTTTATAGATTTTCATATTATTTTTTGATTCATTTAATTTATTATTACTTACTAAGTTTTTGTAAACCAAATCTTCGTCTTATGAAACAGAACAAAGCAGATAGCGAAAGACTTGAAAAAAAATTTTGACATTTTGAAATTGATTGTCCGGAAAATGGAAATCTCGACAGAGTTGGACGAATTTGATGAAGACGAGGATGAACTGGCACCAAAGCAAGTCTTTGGGAGTGAGCCAACAATCGGCTGGTCCTCCAGTACATTGAAGCATGCTATCATGAAACAAGCCTTCGCTACGAGTGCATGGAAATCCATTGCCGGGATCGATAGTGACAACATTCCTCCAGGAGATATCACGATTGCAAAGAAATGAATTGTTTTTCAACGTTTCAGTGTTTTCGTTGTGATTTTTAACAATCAAAACAGTTTTACATGTTTCGGCATTTTACTTGATGTAATAAATTTTTCATTATCGTAGCACTTTTTGCTAGTCGAACATTTCTTCGGGTTAGTTGTTGAGCATTTGAAGTGAAAAAATAATCTCGACTTGCTTCAATCGTAACGTGGCGATCTTAACGTAGTCTAACGAGTTTCCGAGTGTAAGAGATATAAAATAAAATAAAGATAACACAGAAGTCAACTTTCTCACTGACTGAGGTTGAAAAATGTTCTATCCCACCTCAGACTGGCCACAACGATTTTCCGCGTACTTAACGTTTCAATACCATCAAAATTATAAATAGATGTGTCAAATCAGGAAAATATTTCTGAATTAATTTTATTCATTGTTATCAAATCATTTTGAATTTGAATAAAAATAAAATAGTTTGTTTTTTAATTTAGCTAAAACTTATCACAATTAAGAATTTAAATCTTTCAATAATAAAACTTCTGAAGTAATTTTTTAACATAATTTGAGAAGCGAGATTATTCAAATCAATTATCAATGTCATAACTGCATCTCATAAACTTTAAAAATGTTGATAAATAAAGACACAACGCAAGAGAAATTGATTACATTGTATTAGGAAGGAAAATTTCCGTTTTGGTGATTGGATTGAAAACCTACCGCTCTAACAAAACCACCGATGGATTTGTTTGAGATGTATATTTTTCACGCCCGTCATTGTTGCTATTACTTTACTATTGGAGTTAGCTCTGTAACAAAACATTATTCAAAAATTTTGATAGGAAAGCCGAGTGCTAAACCTTCGTGTTTCACCGAAGTGATTTCTTGTGTCTATAAAATGTCTCTTTAAACTAGCGTAATCTGCGTTCGTGATGAATGACAAATAATTTGATAACAAAATAAAATTAATTAATATTCAATATGAAAATGATAAGCTATGACTTCAAATAAATTATCAATACAAAATTAATATAATGAATATTGTTATCATCGAAGTTATTGCAAGCAAAATCAACACAACAAAAATAGTCTGCAAATCCGATCCACCTGAAATAGGATTGCCTGCCTGCCTGCATCAGGGGGACAGAACGTTACATGAGATGCCGGGAAAAATCAATAGTATTAAAATTTCTGGTCTTGTTTGTCCGAAAAAATTTTTATCATAGTAACAGAAAATTTTCATGTAAGAAATGCTCAAATCAATTTGATCTGCTACTTCATTTTGGGGTCTTTATATAAATATATAATATATACGCATACACATACAATGCATACAGTACCTACATATGATAAACGTTATATATACGAACGACGGAATGTTTCTTTGTACGCAATTCTGTGCAGAAGCAGTCAGTATGCAGGTGTCGCAATCGGTGTTTCCATTACGCTCTATACAACGTTTATGCATGTTGTATATGTCGTATGTGCATGTAGGTACATGTTCTGGGCGCATATATGTGCTGAGCTCATCGGTTACGCATTATATTATATTGATACATGCGTTATCATATGCTGACTAGTGAGCAGCAAGCATATAACTCGTGCAAATAAAAAAGTAAATAACTAACAATTCTTACTCACCAAATACACGGACGCACGCTTACTTCATGTACACCAAAACATACGAAGGCTGCTTGTTTATGCTGGATAAGTAAAAATCTGTACCTTTGTTATACATTTCGTACATCACACATTGAATATATATTATGCATTCAAATATATACATGTACATGCATATATACGTATAAACATATAAGACTGGAGTATACAGACTGTACGTATAGAGGTTGATAGAATGATTGTGCGGGCGAACATACACGTAGGTAGGTGGGTGTTTTATGTACGCCAACATCCTGCGCGCCATGTTATTGCAATTCAATATCGCTGATGCTTTGGCATTGATAGCTCGCTCTTCAAAAGGTGATACCTACTCTGATCTTATACATGTTTTCTGTTGCATGTATGTACATGCATGTGTGTGTATATGTGTATATATATATATATATATATATATATATATATATATATATATATTTATATGGGTGGAAATAGTCAATCTATTCATGCAGATACGGTATATATACATATTAGTTAGATCTATATAAATTATCATGTTTAAACATTTATATGTACAAGTATATGTAAAGTCAAAACATGTATGTATATATTTTTACTTGTACATTTTGGGTATTTGTTGAGCACAGGAATGTATGACCCCTTGTATGTTTTTTGTTTGTGGTTATGTAATGAACCAGTTTTCATTGAGACCTGATGACAACCTGATAACAGCCATGACATTCCGCTCTTACCATAGATTCTTCTCGTCGAACTCCGTAAAATGTTAAATTGTGGATGAACGTAAATGTGTATAAAGTATGTAACATTTTAAGGGTTTTTGACATCGAGTTCAATCTCATTTTCGGTCTTCATTTTTCCACCGAAAACAATATATTTTTATTGTGGAATCTCTCATTGACACTTTCTAAATCTATCTTACCATGCTCTTTAGACATGTTGTTTTTCCATGTGAACTCGCGTTCTGATTTCAATTTATTTCATCAAGTTATGTCAGGTATCAGTTGCTGCATTCAAGTTGGACAAACATGTGTCGTGTTTGTAAAGGAAAATTGTTTCAAACTCGCTTTTGATATTTCCTATAGTGTAAAATACAGGAAGTCATTTTGCAATGGCATCAATCTTTTAAGAGGACAAGAGAGAGAGCACATGTTCTTGTGACATTCAATAAGGTTTTAAACTATGCGATTGTTGCCTGTGGTTCTGATATCATTGCGAATGATATTTAAATATTTTAAAATAATTAAAGATTAAAAAATAAAAAATATTACATTGCATATACTACTATGAAGATTAAGACCGAAAGAAGAAACACAATCTCAGATTAAAACAGACTCGCTTGCATCCACCACCTATATAACACACGTGTATTTATTTAGACATGTTACACGTATATAATGTATACTATACATCATATAGCCCTATTTTTGCAATGAAAATAAATCATAAACGTCGAACAAGCTTTTTTGAAACATCGTTTGGATATTGTTGACAAAATTTTTTTTAATTTTCTCAACAGTATCACCGATTGCAAAAATTTGAATTTTATTGTTGGTTTAATTTGTCGTGACTGTGGTTGCTTAAACAATCTGAACACTTTCAACAGCCAGTCTTACTTTCAGTTGAATCAATCAAAGGCGCTGCATTCATTAGTTTACTAAATTTAATGAACTAATTAAATTAATTAAATAAATTCTGTTTGGTGCTAACAAGAAATATGATGTTGGCGACGTCCATCTTATTGATGATACTCTTGTTTGACTGTGAAGCAGTACAGTTGAGAAAGAAAAACTTCATGCTAAGAGACAGCGAGGACGTGGCAGACGACGACCATTCAAGTCTCGAAGTTGCACCAAGCAGGAAGATGAGCTACTCGACGGATTTTTCTCGTAAGTTATTTTTGGTCTGAAATAATTTTTAAAACATATTTGTTCAGTGTTAATAATAAATTTAGGCGGTCATCATAAAATATTTTGAATTAAATGTGTACGGAAAAAAGTTGACGATAACACAAAAAGATTAGCATATTGAACCATAATTTTTTTCATTAAAAAAATTGTTTTATCACATAATTAGTCATATTCTTAAAAAAATAGTTTTTAGACTTTCATGTGAATGAATTGAAATGAACATTATTAAACTGGGTATCAGAAAATGTTGGTTATTGAACCAAAGGAAACTTATTTCCAAAATTTTTCAAGTGATTCAATTAATTTAAAATTGTATTTAGTTTTATAAAATTTACCTTAAAACAAAATTATCATAATTAATCTGATATTTTTCAAATATAATTTTACTATTTTTTTGAGTTTTTCAAAGCAATGGCGCAAAATCTTTTCAATTTTTTTCTGTATGAAAACTATATTTGGTTAATTAATTAATTAATTAATTTGATCGTTGGAATAATTTCTTATTATACTTGGGACGAAATAATAAATCTTAAGACGTTGATGCAACGTTGTTCAAAATATGAATGTTTGAAAACGTCGCATGGCATTCTCCAGCCAAAAAGCTTCAACTTAGTTTCGTCAGATTTGGATTGATTGAAATCTAGATATTTTGCTTTCTGAAAAACACACAATTTTTTGAAATATTTATTTTAATTAAAGCATTTTGACGAAGTTTTTTTTGCAATGCTTGAAACAATTAAAACAAGTTAATTCATTTGAAATAAAACCTGAGTATAGATTTTTCAGTTAAGACATTTGAAAGTTCAATTTTTGTTAAGTAATAAAAATTTAATAAATATTGAATTTGTGCAATTACTGTTTTTTATTTAAACACAAATGTTATAAAATTTATTAGTCGTCAATCAATAAAGAAAATATTGCATTAAGCTTTTATTATATGTAAAATAAATGTGTTTAAATAAATACATTACAACCAAATAAAACGCATTGGCACACAACAATAATTCAAATTGACAGAGCACGATTGACGCCTACAACAAGGATATTGGAAGTGAGACAGCCACAAAAAATGATTTTCACTTTCAAATTAACGTAAATTAATTACTAAGTTTACCGAAATTTTATGAATTGCATAAAACAAATGCATACAAGGTATAGTGTTAAATAAAAACTCTCGTCCAGTTTGACTGCGTACACTGGCTACAATATTGATTTCTCATGGGCCCAACACCTTCAGCTGCAACATTGCAATCACGGCGAATTTTCCTTAACGAACAAAAAACTGTTCCTTTAAAATTAATTCTTCCCGTTCAAGCGTGCAAACATTGTTTTGTAATTTTTTATATCGTTTCGTTATTTTATTTTTAGACAAATTTTCAAATTTTATACTGTAATAAACAATCCTAAATTGAATGTTTCTTTAAAACTGAAACAATCTTCCACTTGTACGTTGACCAAGCATTGATATTTCGTTAATGTTAGTAAAGGTTTATCATTCATGAATAAAAATAAGCATACATTTATCTGAGAAAATCGTCTGCTTTTTTTAGAAACAACTGTAATCGACTTCAACCGAAGTTTGATGCTCTCCCGGAAAAACATCCTACCTACCTACTGTCTGTCTGTTTGCTACTTTTGTTTGCACTCTCGACTCGCAAAAAAAACCTTCACTTACACAATGAAATGAACGGCTTTCAAAGTAACTGAAAAGATGCAAAATGCTCAAAATGCCAGAGCATTATTAGACTTGTTTGCCGTTATTTAATTTTGCTTTGTGCTCACAAAGTAAATAATTTCGATTCCTTACCATCAATAAAATAATTAGATGATTTGAAAAGAACACTTTGTCACGTTAAAAAATTCCATCTCAATTTCAAAAATCATCATAGCACAAAACGTACACAACCTCAGTCTTGTATAGAAGGCAAAAACTCTAATTTGAAAAAAATCACTTCTACAATTTGGAACTAAATTGTTTGGCAGTGTATAATTTATATTAATAAATAAGCATAAATAAAAATAAGAGTGTTTTCAGGTTCTCAAAATATTGAATGTAGCAGGTAAGGTGCTAGCTTCGTTGTTTCAGTATATTTCGAATCTCGCAATGGCGTGCGGTGCGTCTTGTTAGTAGGTTGGAAATATCGAAGCAACGCAGGCATCTGACATCAATAATGCCTTCAAAGCAATCGATCCAATGATCATTATCTTTAGTAACGTGGTAACCGACGGCAGGTTAATGTACATGTGCGATTGACAAATGACGCACGCATCGTTTCAATAGAGACACGCACGCATGGTTTCAGGCAGGACAGCGTGCAGAACAAGTACGATTGCGCTTGCGTATTACGTCGCATGTACCATGTACCTACCTACTACCTACCTGTGCAATAGAATATCATGCTGTACACGCTCCCTGCTTTGTGCACGTGTACGTGTTCTACATTCCTTACTTATTGGCTTTTATTTAGCTGCTCATTTGAAGTCACACAAAGCATAAAATAAAAATATTTCATTCAGAGATTTTGTCTTATACTTTATGCAAAACTTTTATAAAAAAAAATTCAGAAAAAATTAAAAAACTGAATTACTTAAAGATAAATTTATTAGAAGAGAAATAACGATATAGAACAGCGTTCTCAGCTTGTGGGTCGCAACCAAACTGGAGGTCGAATGATGATGATGATGATGATCATCGAAGATCTGTTTTGTCTCCTTTCAAATGTGTAAAACAATCTTTTTTTCTTTTTCAAGTGGAAAATTTGTGCCACTCACAATAGTTCAACATTTCATTATATGGAGGGACTGGGTTGCAAAATTTTGTCAAACTGACATTCAGTTTGCGTTTGATGAAAGTCTGAGCTGGAAATAGCCTGTTGTGCATAAGATATGTTTGGAGAAAGAAGATGTGTTACCTCACTTAATATTTGTCACAAAGAGTAGTAGATGAGATTTTTTATGAGTTTCCAGCAGACATAATTTGCCAAGGCATCTGAGAATAACTTTTTTATAAAAGGGTTAGCAAGCTTTAAAATCTAAATCTCCTTAACTAAAAGCGAGTTATAAAATACTCGTTAAATGAATAATTCCAAATTTTAACAACACAAAATACATTAAGTTATAAAAATAAAACATATTCAAAATTTGAAATTAACCTTTTTTTAAACAATTTTTTCTAACCACAGGTCGACCTTCTTTCGTTGATTGGACTCAGCAGATGCGACCCAAATTAAGACGCAAGAGGTATGTATTTGTGCGTGTGTTTATGTGTTTGTGTGTGGATGTGTGGGTGGGTGTGCGTGTATGTGCATTTTGCGTATGAATAATTTTTTGTATATACATAATGTGTATGTATGAAGGTACCTATTTCTGTGTAATATACGGTGTGTGTATATATATATATATATATATATATAAATTCTCAAATTTAAGTTGATAAACACCTAACAAATCGGTGGAATTTATTACATATTGATATATATATATATATATATGTGTGTGTGTGTGTGTGTGTGTGTGTGTGGTGTGTGTGTGTGTAAAATATGTAAAATATGTAGTACAAAATGTACGTGTTTGTGTGTATATAAAAAATGGTATTATAATTAAAATAGGAACCGAAGTGAGGTTTGGTTTGAATCGTACGTTATTGCCTTAATTTTTCTACCAATTTTCGGATTGTTTATGGGATTCCATCTTTCCTTCTTTTATGACAATTTCTACATTTTTCTATTCAAAGACATGTATTCAACAGCTTCCTTTCTACTAATTTGACTATAAAATTATATGCCACAATTTTTTGTCAAATATACTACGATGCTTCAATGCTGCTTATTACATTCTGTTGTATTTATTTCAATATTTATTTTTACATATTTAAAAATGTCCAAATTGTTAAACAGGTTACAACAATCGCGCATACCGTCACGCCGACAACGTTCAAGTGACTAAACCCTCATAAACTCATTATGTTTCCTACCTTTGACAGATGAATGACTTGCATTATTCAATTCTAAATCCATCTGCCATGCATATTTCCCACACAACGTTCAGTCTAACTAATATGAACTGAGCATGCTATTGGTACTTCACAGCAAAATGTTTTTAATGCAAATTTATTTTTAATTCCGCTATTTTACGAAACAAAATACTAATTTAAAAAAATGAAACTGTTACAAAAACGTACATTCACAAATAGATGCATTCAATAAGAAATCTTATAATTTAGAATGACTGGTAAACAAATTAGAAAGAAGAGTCCTTAAGTTTTTTCTTAATGATCATTGTTATTAATAATTTCATACAACCCCCCGACAGATCTGAATACAGGCCAGCCTCTTGCACTTGCACCTGCGAAACAAAGGTGGTGAAAAGTTCGGGACAGACGGCTGTCCAGCATGACAACTACCCAGACCACGACTTGGATAAGCATGATTATTCAAGCTTTTATAATAAGTCCGATGACGAGTGAGTATCGGAGATGATTTTTAATTATTCGACCTGCATATTTCAGTTGCCCGTTTTTTCTGTTGTGCTCGAACCGTTTAAACTTTAATCAATGATTTATTATACTAACTAAACAGAAAATAAGCTTTCGTTGTAACTATTTAATCAAAAAATTTCATTAAATTTTGTTGCAAACGTTTCTATATTTTGTCCCTATTTTCAAATATGTACAAATAATCCAATTTAATGAATGCATTTCATGCCGAAATCATTTAATGCAACACAAATTATAAAAATGAATTGATCATCTGATTTATTTTTTAAACGTTCTGATTGGTCGCAATTTAAAAAATAAAAATTAAGAAATAAAAAAGAAACCACGATTGTATAAGCTGAACTTTGAGACGTTCCGTTTATTTTCAACACAATTCAAGATGGCCGAAAGTTCATAGTGAGAAATTTTTAACAGAGTATTTATTATACATTCTAAAATCCTATGATGTAATCAATAAAATTTCATAAAAATAGCAAGAGGCTAGACTTAAATTACATTTCGTAAAAATGGGATTCTAACAAAACAACATTGCCTTTCACATGTACAATGTGCAGCAATACGAAATGTAACTCATGTGGAAAATTTGCCTGCATTTGTAATTAATGCACTACGCTTGATTGAAAACTTTTATGGCAGCGGTTCTCAGCCGGTGAGTTGCGACCCATCCGATATTAGGCGCCATTTCGCTTGCAGACGCCAAAATCATTAGAAATTGCTATTGGTAATGAGAGTTTATGCAAACAATGCCAGATGATTTGGTTTCGGTTGAATTACTCAATATTGTACTTCATGTCAAGATCAGTTGTCGTACTCAAGAATTTTTGTTGTCATAATCATTCAAATTTTATAAGATCAAGCTGCTGAAGTTATTAACATGTTAATAAATCTATCTGTCTTTCAAGAATTTGTAATATAAAAAATATTTGACCTGATATATTTCACAGTATGACTCTGTGACGATTACATCAAAAGCTAGAGCAGGAATCAATGAACCAGGATGCGTTAGGGAAGTTCCGGCAGTCGATCCATGATACTGAAATTCATTTCATTCAATGATCCTCTGTAATCCCTTAAGGGACCGTTGAGGCCGATGGTATTCTTCTATCTCTCCAAAATTCTTTTCTTTCCTTCGCCATCTTCATTGAGCTCAATGTTCCAACCCCCGTCTATTCCGTGATATCATCCATCCACTTCCTCACAGGTCTTCCAACTTTTTTCTTCCAGTCCCTCTTTCTCATCAGTACTTTTTTGATCAGTCTGTCGTTTGTCATTCTGCAAATGTGCCCAAAGATACCCAGCTTTCTTTCCTTGACACTTTCATACACAGTTTTTTGTCTTCTAAGTTGTTTTCTTATGGCATCGTTTCTTATCTTTTGTCTCCAACTGATTCCCAGCAACTTTCTATAACAATGCATCTCGAATGCTTCCAGTTTGTCTTTGTCTCTTTTCTTCAACGTCCAAGCCTCACATGCATACATCAATGTAGAAAACACACACGCTTCTACGATCTTTACCTTTGTTTTTGTAGATACATTACCGTTTTTCAATATTACTTTCAAAGATGCAAACATTCCTCTCGCGATTGCTATTCTTCTATCAATTTCTTTCGAACAATTATTGTCATCAGTTATGAGGCTGCCCAGATATTTAAATTGGTTCACTTGTTCGAGTTTTTCTGCTCCTATCTGGAATTCATCATTGTTTCCATCTGCTTCCGAAATCATTATCTTTGTCTTACTGCTGTTGATGTGTAGTCCATGGTTTCTTCCACCATCGTGCGTCAACTCGATCAGTTTCTGTAGACCCTCTGCACTAGATGCTAGCAGATCTATATCATCTGCAAACCTGAGGTCCCTTATCACTCTGCCTCCAATGTCGATTCCCTCAATATCTGCATTTTCCATTTTTTCCAAGGCTCTTTCCAGCAGTGCTAAGAACAGTAATATTGGATCTCCTTGTCTACTTCTTATGCTCGCTTTGATCCAGTCTCCCAGCTCTGTACCTACCTTTACCGCCATTTTTGACTCCTCATAAAGCCCTTTCAGCACCCTTACCATTTTTGTTGACACTCCCATACTTTTTAAAGCTGCCCACACGCCTTCTTAAAATCTACAAAACAATGAAAAGTTGTTTGACCTCTGCTTCCTGCATCTTCCAACAATAGTCTCAACATCAGGATTTGCTGGACTGTACTTCTGTCCTTTCTGAAACCTGCCTGCTCCTCTCCTAAATGCTGCTCTATGTCTTTCTCCGATCGTTCTTTCAAGATCGTCAGCATGATCTTGCACATATGAGGGATCAGTGCTATTGATCTGTAGTTGTTGCAGTCTTTCAGGTCTCCATTTTTTGGCAACATGATCAAGATTGATTTACACCAATCTTCTGGCCATTTTCCACTGTCCCATATTTCTTGGCAGATTTTGTGAATCTCATTACATACAATTGGTCCTCCCGCTTTGATCAGCTCTATGGGAATTCCGTCTCTCCCTGTGCTCTTGTTGTTCCTCATTTGAATGGTTGTTAATGCCGGGGGTGGTGATGAGGATAAGCTCCCATCATCTATAAAATGCTCCCATATGGCAAGCGTCTCAAAGAGCCTCTGACAACTCAGAATCTCAGAACTGTTTAAACTAACAGGAGAAGGCGCGAAGGCGAATAACTGGCGCCATAACCAGTTGCTTCGAGCAGGTGAAGCTCGTTAGCCTTGGTCGGCTATTTACCTAGGAGAAGGAAAACTCTGACTTCAAACCTCCGCTGCCTTGCGGCATACCTGTTCATGGGAAAGGCTATGGGAGCAAATCCAGACAGAAAACCACACTCCACCACCTGAGTTGCGGTCCAGTAATATCAGGTGCCGGTTCAAAGTCCGGATAGAAAGGAATGGTTGACAGGAGCTTGCTACACTGTCGTAAAAACGCTAATAACACGATGGTAGTCCAAAAAAAAAAAAGTATTATACTGGAATGTGGTTTATCATTCTATTAAGAAACATCAAAACTGATGAGAAAAACAATTATTTTAAAATTAAAGCTGGCGAAACCAACAAATCAAAGGTTGGCGGTGGCGGCAGCTATCAAACATAAAATTTGCTGCAAATTTTCAACATCGGCAGTCAGGTGTAACGACGTTACACATTTTGTGAAAATTCGTATTTCCTTCCAGTTATTTGGCTTACATGTTTTGCTATTTTGCATCAAATAAAGATATTTGTCAATTTGTTATGGAGTAAAGATTTTTAAGATGATTTTACAAATAAAACAAAAAACCGTTTTTTGAGACATTTCAATTAAAGGATGGGTCACGGCTGTACTGAGCACCGCATTTTTTTTATCTATTCATAAATTATTTTAATAATAGTGAAAAGTTTACGTTTTCATGGAAAATTTAAAGTTTATTTACATTTTTTAATGTAATTTAAGTTGTCAAGTTGTTTGGATATTTTAGAAAATCCATTTCAGCTGATAAAGTATTGACAAATATCCAATCATTTTTGAACCTTATTTTTGTTACTTTTGAACATATAATATAAAAATATGTGAAACAATTCCATAGTGTTCACTGGAATGACCTGCCGGTGGAAAACTGCTACCGCCGATCATGCAAAACAAACGCCAATTGTTGCCGTGATTCTTCGAAGTGTGACAAATCGTCGAAGACATGCAGAGACTGCTGGAATGGACAAACTTGTAGAAAAGACATAGACTGCTGTGCCAAGTATCCAATTTGTCAGTTGGAGCACGGCATAAGTTTCGAAGGCAAATGCGTAGGCAACTAATGAATCATATCGAACATGCCTGCCCAGACTTGAAAGAGCTAAACGGTTTTTAAGTATTTAATCAGTGGTACGAGTGTTTGGTGTTTTTAAACATACAATCTTTTTAAACATACAATCATTTTAATATTTCCAGCAATTTACTTGCATCATATATATATATATATATATATATATATATATATATATATATATATATATATATATATATATATATATATATGTTTATCCAAAAATTGATAACTTGGAGATGTTTTAATAACAACTTACACACATATATATCGTCGGTTTTGAAATATAATCTATTGTAATACTAGTGCTAGCAAACTCCGTTAATGTATCGGTGTTCATTTTTATTCAAGCGCTTTTTTATTATGATGTGTACACATTTTTTAAAACTTACAGAAAAAATAATATTCAAAAAAAGATAACGTTTGTAAAAATATGAAATTTAATACAACTTCATTTATTAAGCACTAATAACGTGGCAACAGCATTCAAAAATTTTCAAGAAAAAGTATTTTCAATTTGATAAGTCATCCTAGTTCGCAACTAAACAGCTAAAAAATTGTTTTTAAATGTATTTAAAAACATATCATTTATTTTTTAATTGTATTTACTGAAAAATGAAAAAATGAATATGAAACAATGAAAAATACCCACGCTGTAACAATGTTAAATTTGTGAAAATTTTTTTTTATTCTTGACAGCTGGTCAAAATTTTTCTTTTTTTCAGATTTTCTATTTAAATTTATAAAAAAAACATTCGTTTTAATATAGCTTTCATGTATTCTTTGAACAGAGTCATTTACAAAGTAATTTATATTGGTATTGTTATATTCTCTAAGCGAGAGCAGCATGATACCACACATCCATTATTATAAGTGGACGCTCCCAAACTGTATTGTTTTGGAAGAGCGGTGAGAAATGAAACATACAGTATACTGTTCCTATAATGACACAAGTTCTGTCGGATCATGCAGTATATTTAGATTCCCATTTGTAATTCCATAGTTGATAATTGTCTTAATTTTAATTATTTCACTCTGTGTTTATTGCCAAAGCATATGAATCAAGTTCAAAAATATCAATTGTCTCTTTTAGATCACAATGTTCTAAAAGCCAAGCAAGTTTGTAAACCGTTACAATGACAGTCATCTTAGCACAACACCCATATACATGTATAACTATTATTAATATTATCATATTTATATATCACGATTAATACCACAGTAAAAACAGTTCCCGCTTGTTTACTCGAACAAAAAACTCTATCAAAAAACGCCGATTTCAATACAACTGATAAAAATACAATCTAAACAGTAAAAATAGAAGTCGGCTTTTTATTAAAAATGCCTACACATTGCATTGCTATTGCCACATACCTATTTCGTCCAGTTATACAGCACGATTATTAATTGGTCATTGCTTACTAGGATAGCAACTAGCTAATTATTTTTCTGACACTGTGACAGTATTTTTAATATGGTTCGAAAGACCTAGCTTGTCATCCGATTAGAAATTCAAAAATGTATGAGCCAGTCACGGTACGGTAATTAACCCACCCTTCATTTCATCATTCCAACTTGTAAAAGGCTTTCATGTGTGCAACGCCCGTCCGTTCTTCCACTGCTTGTAATAACATTACACCTTAAAACATCTTGCGAATATTATAAAGAAGTCTAAATTTCCGACAATATAATGACTTTTTACACCATTCATGTGACTTTGATTAGGCAGGATTACTGATTAGGCAAACTTAGAAAATTTACAAATCATAAGCAACATTTTTATTGGATTAACATCTAAATGAATTAAGGGAGTTTGCACTCAAACTTATAATCGTAAGAAAATGATCTGAACATAATCAACCACTATAGTAAAGGCACATGAAAAAGTTGGCAATGCATTACGACGATGACCATGCTAACAAAACATTGTTTTCGTTATTATTTATTACAAACTTCGAAAAAATATACCGTTTAAAAGCAAAATTTATTCAAGGAAATATATCTGAAAAAATATTTACTTAAATAAAAATATAATTAAATATTTACTTATCAATGACAGAAAAAACATCATGAATCAGCAAAATATAGACATAGTAATATACAATTTAACTATCTGTGATTTTAGATAAAACTTCATAACAAAAATAGGTTGGTATCAGTCGGTACAACAATTACTTCAAACATGATTAAGATGACTAAAAAAAGGGAAGTTGCGGAGATATTTACAAATGTTTCATTCACTTTAATGCTTCCTTTTTGTCAACGAACTGCCTATAATACCACGTTTGACTTTTGATCCTTTCAACTGAACGTCACAGTCACCTTGGCCTCGTGATTTCTCGTGCTCAGTAGAATTTCCTATTTTTTTTAATTGATCCACATTTTTCAATTTCTTTTCAGTGTGCTGCAGAAGTCGTTGAAAGTAGAAATGCCACAATGTCCATACAATTAATGCTAAGGCACCAATCAGAAGCATGTTAATGACGTGTGGAGGCAGGGGCTTTGTGAATGTGTTCCAATCAAATTTAAACGCAATCAACACTTCTGTTATCATTATTGCTATTGCCAATGTCGATTGAGCACCAAATTTGTGGCATTGCCTGGCAGTTAAACAATATATAACGAGTTGTATAGCAATAATCACTCTCGGTTCAACAAGCAGTAATTTTATTTCTTACTTTATATTTATCAACATCATTAAGCACCAACCATTATTGTCCATTTATTCAATTGAAAAATTCAAACTATGACAAACATCAGTAAGCATTGAAATTATAATCACAGTCATACACTACATTAAACTAATTCAGTAGAAATAATAAGGCTAACGGGTCGTCCAAGAATTGAAAAACTTCACGCAGAGAAACAGCTCCCCAGAATATAAAAAGAACCAAACGAGCAAGGCACAAGAAGTGTGAGGGAGGAACCCAGAGTACAAACTTCAAAGTGAAGGCGTTCAGCTCACAAATAAGTATCTGTCAATATAAAATATTGCATTGCATCATTACATTTTTATATATTATGTTTAAATAACTTGTATGCCACAAATAAATCATCAAACTTTTTAATTTACAATTTTTTTAAATAGTTGTGCCGGAAATATTTATCATTGAAAACATGGCACATCCTATCAGAAAAACGATCAAAAGTACTCCCAAGTTTACAAAAGAGTATTGAACAAAAAAACTCATGAGAATGTTTACATTGGAAAAATGAACCAACAACGTACACCTGCAACAATGAGTAGCATGGACAACCACCTCTTCAGACTCTGTGTCGGTCTCCAGTCAAAATCTGTGTATATGTATGGAGTGAACTGCTTCAGGATTCGACTAAATTTGCCTCTGAATAAATAGAAAAATTAAGTTCATGAATAACAGTTGTTAATATCTAATGTCAATAAAGCGTCTGGTTTGCAAGTTAGCTCAGATAATATGAGTGCCATGTCTCACTCTGTTATTGCACGCTAACCTGATTCAAACACCTTCTGTTCAAAACTCAGAGACTTCCACAGTGATGCACCTTGTGACTAAAATGCGAGGTCTCACGTGCTATGGATGATGCAGTTTTTGCAGTGCAGAAAGCTTAATTGAAATTAAGTAAAATACTAAATGTAAGCAGCTTTGCATTTTTTCATTTATGATAAACTTTTAAAAATGCTCAGTGAATTTTGCCACATTTTTCAAAAATACTAACTATATCACTATTTCTCAGAAAGAAAAGAAAAATTACTAAGACATGTTTGCAAATCAAGCATAAATTGCAGATCATAATTATTTGATCACATGATTGTATCAAATTCAGTCCATTCTACTAAAGTTGTTCAGCCAAATATGAAAACCCAGCAGTTGTAAAATAATTAAGTGAGCAATTTAAAAGTGAGGACCTGTATGTTGGGTAGGTCCACAGACCTCTCCAGTGGTACGTTTTCATGGAAAGATACTTGACAGTCTTCATGCCCAGCACTATTCCTAGTCCATTGCATATCAATGCATCCATCAACCACTAAGCAATTTAATGACGATTTTCAAATAACTAAATTTCATTATTTGATGCAATTTTAATAATTATTAATAAAATTATTTAAGCAAAAAATATCAACAAATCTTTTCAATGAAAGCATAGAAAAGTACATCAGGTAACTAAGAGATGAAGTACATAAAAAAAATACACTTACATGGTCCCACCAGCATTCTGAAAAATTTGGCAGCTGATGTTCCAGTGTGTATTCCAAAACTTCAAAAAGAATACTTGTCACAGTGCACAGCCACCAATCTCGAACAATTAATGTCTGAGTAGAAATTTTAGTATATAATACAGATTTGTTTGAGTTCATTAGATTAAATTTGCTATGCAAATGATTTGAGGTTAGATTAATGAGCTTTTGTATAAAGTTTTAAAAAAATATTATTGCTTTAAACATTTCAATTTGTGTAAACCACTGATCAAATAAATTGCCAATCCCTACTATAGACAATGAAAAGAAATGTAAAATGTTTAATTACAGATTGAGACTATATATACATTTACTTTTCTTCTCCTATTATTAATTATACGTGCTCTTAAGAAAGTCACCAGAAATTAAATCAAACATTTTCAAAAAATGTTTTAGTTTTTCTGATTAAATTTGAAACTCTGAGCAATAAATAAGCAAGCAGATAAAAATTAAGTAAATATCAAACCTTTGTCCACCAGCCAAAAAAGTGCACAGCAACAAAACTATCCATCTTGTCCTGCCACAAAACAAAATGTTAACATTTTGCAAATAACATCTTGAAGAATCGGTTAAAAAATAGAGCTAAAACTTAGCTAGAAAATTGTGTGCAGGGTATAAGAAATAAATACATAACTTCATACCTTAACATTGTGGAATGGATTGTCAGGTCGAGACGAATCATATAATTCACAATTTCCTCCATAACTTTTTTCCGGCAGAGGAACGCCGAGGCCTGGATCAATGTGTCGCAACAGCAACCTAGCATCATCAGCAGTCTAAAATAGGTTTTTTTTAATTAAATTAAAATTAAAGTTATCAAACATTTATAAAAAATTAACATGGTTATAAAACATTTCACCAATAATCCACTTGAAAATTTAAAAAAAAAATGAGATTCATTAAAATTAAATTTAATAAAAATTTAATGTTTAAACAAGTTAATATAAAAGCAAAAATCACTTGATTTGGTTTTTACTTTAAAAAACTTGATTAACTTACCAACCCACTAGGAAGAAATGAAACAAACTTGGAAAAGAACGAAGATGAGTAAGAGTTCGTAAACTATGCTCAGAACAAGCATCAACCTCCAAAGAGCTTCAATATTTATAATATGTAACAATAATCACAGCATCATCAAAATATTTATAATATTTATAATCATAACAGATTAATAAAATATTTTTAATAAATAAAGTTAAAAAATTAATTGTATATTGTTAAAAGTATCCAACACAAACAAAATTATTCAGAAAATACAGAATTTCACACTTAAATCTTGAAAAATTAAAGTATGGGAGGTAAATTTTGAAAGAAAGCCAGACCTGGATGAGGTCTTCTAAAAGGACCATCAGGTGTGATCGTCACCCCAAACACCACAAAAGATATTATTACAGCTATAATTCCTCTGAGAATATAATGTTAATATTTAGTAAACAGACAGTAAGATTACATCATAAAAAAATTTTTATGTCTAATAAATAAATGAATAAAATGTTGTAAAACCTTTTTGTGTTATAATCAGAATTGTTTGTGGCATCATCATACAATGTAACATATAAGAGAACTAAAATGAAAATGATGAGAGCTGATATTCTGTGGGCTCGCCTGGAAAAATGTAAAAAAGAGCGGGTGTTGGTTTGAAATAATTTGATTTTATTTTATATGCACTCAATCAACGCTTTGTTGTGGTCACTATGCAACACTGTATTAGTGAGTCACAGTGAAGTGAATGTTTAGGACTTTAGGTTGTTTTTCCTTTGTTTCTTTTTTTATAACAATTTTCAAAAAATTCTAACCAGAAAAATGACATGGTTCCATCATCAAAAAAATCTTTGTTGATGTTTTTTTCTTCCTCCCAATTATGAACGCTGGATTTTTGAACAAGCTTATTGTTTTCATTGTTATTGTTGCAATCACCTTGCGTTCCACCACCAAAACCATTGGTGTTCCTGTGGTGTCCGCCACCTTTCAATTTTCCTTCTTTACTGATCTCCATCGTAATTCAGATTAAAAAAAATACTAAAAACTTTTTTGAAATATAAAATGTATGTTAAATGTAAAAATAGAATAAGATATTAATACTACTGTGCTCTCCACCGCAACTGATTGTTATTCCTGACGAAACAAGTGACCGGTCAGGCGAGTCAAACATTCATCTTCGTTGGATGGTTTGTTTGTTTATATATGTTGGTCTGCACCCACCACACCGACACCACAATCGGCACATATTATAGCGATGGGTGAAAAAATTATTTTTTGGTGACATCTAGCATTGAAGTTTTTCTCATATTAAACAATCAATCAATCATTCATCCATTCATTAAATTTATTTCTATTTGAAATTAATCTGTTGTAACCCTTTACACTTTGTTACTACTTCTGTTATCTTACCTGTTTGTAAAATTCCTGATTTTTTTAAAAGTTTTGTCGCCGAGGCTTTATTTTTGATTCTAGCATGTCTCTTTATTTTCAGATTAATAGTGTAGAATAAAAAAAAACATTTGTCTTTCCTTAAAAATTCTATTCTTTCTTAAGTGTTACTTAATTAGTTTTATCTAGATTTGATTATTCTAAATCACTCAAGGGTCTCCCTGATTCTACACTCTATCTTTCAAGTAAAGGTTTTAACTCTGCCGCTCGTCTAGTTGCTCGTGCCCCTATCTTTTCTCATATATCTCCATATTCTTTTACACTGGCTAACTATAAAATATAGAATCATTTTTGTAAGTTGAACATTAATGTACTAAACACTTTTCAGATGTAATAATTAAACCTAAACACCCCAGTTTACGATCGTCTTCTCGTTCTCACCTCTCGCCTATTGAACATTCTTATGCTAAATCTGTCTTTGCTTCTTTTGACCCTTTTCTCGGGAACTCTCTGCTTTTTTCTCTACTTTTCCATCACTTGCAAAATTCAGAGCTGATCTCAAGACCCTTCGGTCTGTAAAACATTTCAGATGTAATGATCTAACCTAAACGCCCCAGTTTACGATCGTCTTCTCGTTCTCACCTCTCGCCTGTTGAACATTCTTATGCTAAATCTGTCTTTGCTTCTTTTGACCCTTTTCTCGTGAACTCTCTGCCTTTTCCACTTTTCCACTCTCGGGAACTTTTCCACCACTTTCAAAGTTCAGAGCGGATCTAAAGACCCTTCGGTCTGTAAAACTTATTGAACATCGCGGAAACGCGTTTTATAAATTTTTTGATTGATTGGCTTATAGTTTACTAAACATGGATAAAACCATGATAATATATGACACATCACGTATATAATAGTTGTTGTGTTACATTAAGTATATATGAAGTATCCATATAAACAAAATCATGCACAATATAATTATTTTCATTATTATTATTATTATACCTACGTAATTCTGGTATGGTATATACATATAATTAGAATAATGTATATACATCGATAGAATACATGTCAATAAAAATTGTATCTTCGGGGTTCACCCTAAAAAAAGAAGAAACAGTTTTAAAGTGTTTTTTGTATATTTCTGTCTTACCTCCACCTGAAATTTCAATAATGACAAGATTTCTCCGGCTGTTGTAACTTGTTATATCCGGCCTGACAACTTCTTGTGTAGTTTACTTTTGAGAACGGTCGTGTGATTGATGTCGGTGTGTGTGCGTGTGTGTGACATTCGTTTGCTTGTTTCTCTCCCTACGAATAATACCGCAAGTAAGTACCAAGTACGCGATACCACCGCCATCAGCATACAACGACGTTTGTTTTTATTTATTTTTCTGTCAATATTTTAAATTTTGGGTACAGTTTTTTCCCCTGTAGTGATGCATCTTCATCTATCATCTTACTTGCACATCTTAGCCTAGAAGACAGTCCAATTCAGAGTTCAGTGGTTTGTTGGATTCACATTCAATCAGTTATCAATCCTTCCGGTAGTTAGAGGCAAATTCAATCAATCACATACATAGAGATAGAGTCGATTGAAAAGATTTAATTGAACTGCTTCAATTTTGTACCTAAAACAACAGACAGGAAATACTTTTTCATTAATAATTGAAACAAAACAAACATGTCCTCAGAGGAAATATCAAGAAGCAACGATTCCAAGTGGCATACTTTCAGTGAATTCTGGTTAATAAGTGCACCTGGTAATAAAACTGGGGAAGAAACTTATCAAAAACTACACAACTTAATTAAGAAAAATAATGCTGGATATGTTTTCAAATTTCATATTCCAGAGTTGAAGGTGATCTTATTTTTATAATTTAAAATTTTCTGTAAAAAAGAAATAATTTTAAAGTTAGCATCAATGTCATTTTTTCTGTATCGCAACATTCCAGGTTTTAAAAATTTCAAAAATTGGTTTAAAAATTTATTTAGGACTAGGTCATTACATATTATCTATTTATTACAGATATTAATAATTTTATCCAAAACCAAGTTTACTTATTAATCCTATTTTTACATAATTATTTAGCACTAGATAGATATGACTAACATATCTTGTCTTATTTAATTTCATGCATACTTTAAACAATAAATGTTGATAATGTTTTTGTACTTTCTTAAAAATTTAATTTGAAAAGAAAAATTAAATAATGTTTAGTTTATGTTATAATGCCTAAACTTGTGATCATACATATTATGTTATAAAACTAGAAAATGTAAACATTTATATATTTAATCTGTTAAATATAGGTTGGAACATTAGATTTGCTGGTTGGATTATCTGAAGAATTAACCAAACTTGACACATATATTGAAAGGTTCACTTTTAACTGTATTAATTGCTGTTGAAAACTAAACTTACTTTATTATAATTTTATTCAAAATATAACATGTTTTAATGCTGACATGTGTGGCACTAGTCCTTGTACTATCAAACATTGATTGGTTTATCAATTTCTTCTTGTGCATTAGGAAGCTTGCACTAATGGTGCAGTTTTGGTAGTGGTCAGAAAAAGAATTGTTGCTGGCTTATCGTGATATAGTAAATGTTGCAAAAACTTCTTTTAACAGAGTGCACCATAAAACTTGTGTATTTTGATAATTAATTAATGACTAAGATATAATTACTGCATAACAAACTCTGAATGTTGACTATGTTTAGAATGATGGCATTGGTGATTCAATCAATCAATCTGTGTTTTGCGTCCAGAGACCCGGTTTTCTGAGGTAGGACGTTGTTTTCTTTGCCATCAACTTTTTGCGCCAAATTAGACGATCAGTTGTATCCATTTCATTTAAATTTAGAGCTTTCATGTCTTGCTCGATTGTTTGCGACCAGGACTTTTTTGGATGGCCTTTGGGACGTGTGCCAGGTACTTCAACATCTGCAAGAGAAGTTATGGCACTGTTTCCACTTCGTTTGACATGACCAAACCACCGCAGACGGTGTTGCCGACATTCGTCCTTTATATCATCTAAACCAGCACGACGCAGGATTTTGGTAGATTTGATGTGGTCCTTCAGACTAATTTGTTGCATCCATCGGAGCATTTTCATGTCGGTTCGTTGAAGTTGTTGTTCCAGTTTGGTTGTCATTGGCCATATTTCTGCACCATATAACAACACCGGACGTATCACAGATTTATAAACTGTTGATCATAGTGGTAGTGGGATGTCATGCCGCATCAATATAGAGGCAAGGAGATGCCATTTATTCCAGGCTGCACGTATGCGTGCTCGAACGGCGGCTTCAGCTGTTTCAGTACAATCCAGAACATCCCCTAGATATTGAAACGATGTGACTTTCTCTATTTTAATGGCTTCAAAAACAGTGCTACTTCGAATTTGTTGTTGTGGATTGATGCAAGCAGGACAAACAAAATTGGACACTTTAGATAAAGTACCAATTATTTTTGAACAACGTTTGTGACACCACTGGTTACACTGCTGACACTTGATTGAATTGTTACCTACACCAGCTTTACAAACTGAACAGGGCCATCGTGCAGTAGCTGTGGATTGGATGGGTTCACCAGTGTTCAGTGCTTTGGTTTTTCTGATGTTGACTTTGAATGATCGGCGAGTCTGGTGTTCCAATCTTCAAACATCTGTGCTGCATTCTGCTCAGACATGGCTGTTAAAACGATATCATCAGCATATACTAGATTCCAAATGTCACCAGTGCGTATCGGTTTTGTGATTTCTTCCATCACAGTTATAAATAACAGTGGACTGAGAATCGAGCCTTGGTGAACTCCAATGCCAATGTCAAATGCATCTGTGTTTCCAACCGTTGTGCTGACAAGAGTCTTAGTATTCGTATACATTTCCATCACAAGTCAAACAAGATATTCTGGAATGAGTTGTCGACGTAGAATCCACTTGATTGCTTCACGGGGAACTCGATCAAATGCTTTTTCAAGGTCTACAAAAATGTGTGATAGTTGTTGATGCTTTGCGAGGTACTTCTCTTGCAGTTGCCGAAGGATGTGAATTGCATCAATTGTTGATTTCCCCGCTAGAAAACCAAATTGATAATTTCCGATTGTGATGCACGACGATAATCTTCTCTCAATGATTTTTTCGGGGTGTGTTCTAACAGACGTATACCCCGATATGGTGAACAGTTCAATGGATCACTTTTGCCTTTGTATAGCGGGACTGTCATGCTATAGTTTCATTCAGTCGGCATTGAGCAATTTCTCCAGATTTCACGGCAAAGTTGTAATAACGTTTGGATACCTGCAGTACCAGATGCTTTGATAATGTCATTTGTGAGTCCAGAGAGCCCTGCTGCCTTTCCATCCTTCATAGCTTTCAGAGCTTCTGTAAGCTCCTCTACAGTGATGTCTGGAATCGGACCTTCGATGAGTGGAGCGTCAAAGTTAGCATTGATGGGATTTGTTTCGTTAACAGACGATTGAAGTATTCTCTCCACTGTAGCTTGATCTCATCTTGTTCAAGAACCATCTCATTTTTGTCGTTTTTGATACTTGAGGCACCAACTATGTCTTTTTTCGTATGCTTTGCTTGTTTTGCTATACGATACAGAGATTCCATTATTGTGAATTTCATTATTCAGAATTGGTGATTAGTGAAAGAAATTTATTTTTTAATTTTTCAGTTTAGTTAGGAAGTTGGTGCAGTATCTCTGTGATGTTTTGGAAGGGGAAAGAGTTAAATTGATTGAAAACCTCATGATAAATGGAAGTGAGTACATTTTTAATTAAATTTCTTTGTGCCTCCTAAAATGATATATTTTACAACTTACTTACTTTATAATTTTTTAAAATTCCACTTTGCTTAACAGTACATTTTGGATGAACTGTTTATTGACTTTTAAAAGGGTAGATAATATATTAAGAAAATATAAATAATAAATTACAGTCTATGTAAAATGTAAAACCTTACTGGCTCCTGTTAAGACTCTTTAAATTTTAAATTTATAACTCATGAATAGATGTATCATCAGAAGAAAATAATGAAATTGTTTTACCGAAACTGTGATGACTTCATTATCAAAACATGATTGATATTTTATTTTTCAAGTTGCTCCAACTGCTTACATTTCCAAGTTCACTTGGGATGAGGCCAAATATTCTTCTAAACAACCACTTCGAAATATTACAGATGCTATTGCAAAGGTTAAACTGTTTTGTTTTATCATTGTTGTCTAAGTAAGAAAAGTTTCAAGATCTTTTTTTTTACGGAAATTTTCAGTTTTTTTCTCTTGAAAATCTTGTCTATAATATTCTTTTTCCATGTTTAATTTCATTGTTTATCTACTGGCCTGAAACCTGTTTCTTCTCCCTCCTTGCTTATCAGTTTCCAACTTTAGCACATTGGTTTTTCTGTACTTTTGGACATTCTTTTCCTGTTTTCCATTTATTTTGCCATAATTTTTTTTTTCAAAATATGTCAGAAATATGATTATGTTCAATCTAATTTAAAATTTAGTTCTTTTATTTTAACCTGGCCATTTGTTTCATATGAAATAGAACATGACTCAGTCAGAAAATGAGTTGAAGACAAAATCCCAATCATACAATGCCTTGAAAACCAACATTCAGAATATTGAGAGAAAATCCACGTAGGTTATTTTAAAAAATTTTTTTGATTTACCCATTTTTTTTATTTTTTCAACTTTTTTATATTCATTTTTAAATATTGAAAAAATTTTATGGCATCTGCATGATTTAAACTCCCTCTGAAGCTGTATATGGTGCAATGGAAAATGTCAGTTGTATCTTCTGAAAATATTCCTGCCATTTTAATCTTCACAACTGTTAAATACCATTTTGCTTTTCTTTCTTTTGAAAATATTTATTTCATTCTATTTTTATGTAAACAAAAATTTTTTTTCTTCAATTTTGTAATCACGTTTTAGAAAATGTTATTTTAACCTATAATTTTTTATTGAAAACTTAGAAATAAAATGATATTTCAATTTGTATAGGATTGTCTCTAAGTTTGGTTTGAATTTTTTTATATTTCCATTAATATATGAACGTATACAGAGGAAGCTTAATGACTAGAACACTGACAGATTTAGTTAAAAAGGAACATTTCATTTTGAATTCAACATATCTAACTACTCTTTTAGTTGTTGTTCCAAGGTTTGTAAAAATATTGATGATCTGTATTTATGGTGATCTGTAACAATCATTCATCATTTCTTGAGTATGTGTGAGTGGTGTGTGTATATAATAAATTTAGTAATTAAATAAATAAATTAAGATCTTTGTAGAAAAAAGTTTAAAGCTTTGATGAATTAATTGATTAAGAAAAAATATTTTACATAAAGTGCCTCAAAAAAGGATTGGCTTGGAAAGTATGAAACACTGACAGACATGATTGCACCAGAGAGTTCAACGTAAGCTCCTATCTATAACTTTTAAATTTTAAAATGAATGATTTTTAATGAAATTGTGTTTATTTAACGTTTTTATATAATATAATGATAGAATATTTTTTTTGTTTTCAACTTTTGATGTCAACTTCTATTGTTGAATACTTCTGTCTTTTTGCCTCATCATATTTCATTTACAACGTAATATAAAACCATCTATATCAAATGAAAACAATATTAGTTTCTAATATATTTCACGTCATATAATTTATCATTTTGTACCTTGTACTAGTAGTGTTAATTGTTATATAATGCGTGTGATGTATAACTCATGTTAGCCTTGTAACCGAAGATTCTGAGCACTGCCTCTTCACAGTCACACTTTTCAGGAAAGTTGTTGAGGAGTTCAAATTAAAATGCCGAGAAAATAAGTACGATTTTCAACATTATTATATTATATTAGTGTGTGTTTGTGTGTGTGTATCGTGTGGTTTGTGTGTGTGATTTGTGTGTGTGTAGCGTGTGATTTGTGTGTGTGTAGCGTGTGCTTAAATCTATTTGAACTTCCATTGAGCTTTTTCAACTTTAAAAAATTTTTCTTAACTACAAGACATTAAGACAGTCTCTCTTGTAAAATTTTTAAATGTACAGTATTAAAACGATATATTATCGATTTTAGGAATTGGCTAGTTGTTTTTATTATATATTCAAGTGTACTACTCTTATTAAAGTTATTCTGTTTAAATAAATGTGAAACTCTTATCAGGTTTGTTGTTCGAGATTTTGAATACAATGAACAAGAGATGGAGGATGGCAAGAAAGAAATTATGAAACTTAACACTGATAAGGCTAAACAAGAAGTTAGTTTTTGTTAGGTTTTTATTGTCAAAACTTGTTTTTTGCCTTTTATTGCTAAGCATTCCACAAAAATTGTAAAAACATAAATTTGGTCTTTGTGATTTGTATGATTGTTGTCTAACCGTTTTTCAACTTTCGAGGAACTAAATTTTTCAATTCTCAGACTAATAAAAAGATATTTTATATTGAAATTGCAATCACTGTAATCTTTTCCACGCAGGGACCTTTGATAAGATGGTTGAAAACAAATTTTACTGAAACATTCTCAGGCTGGCTCCACGTGAAAGCACTCAGAACTTTCATTGAATCTATTCTAAGGTGAAATTTTGTTTTTTCGTTCACTGTTCTGTTCTTCCGATTTATTAAACTTCTATAAAAAAATATTATAAACAGATATGGCTTGCCTGTTAATTTTCAAGCAATGGTAATCGCTCCTCCAAAACGAAATATGAAGAAAATAAAGGAGCTGTTGAATCAGCATTACTTGCATTTGGATGCTTCAGGTACCTACGACGCCAAAACTGAGGTTAGTCAATGTATTTTTTTTATAAAAATCAGTCAAATTGTATAAAGTTCATTTAATTTCTATGAAGTATTTTAGTTCATTTTAATTTTTAGAAATCGTTTTCAAGACAATTCACTTATTGTCATTTAAAAATATGTTAAAGCTTAAGAATTGAGATTATCAACTCAATGTTGCAACAGACGAACATTAGATTACTTAATGAAGATATGATAACTTTAAAAATATATTAGAGACTGCCGACAAACATGTTAATTTTTAAATGCACGTGTGAATTTTAATTAATATTAATAGATCTAAGATCTATTAATATTTTTGTAACCAAAATGAAAGCCTCCTACTTTTGTTGTCTTCAAACAGATGGATGATATCCCTGGCTTCACGATGAGCAGCGTTGAATACTATCCTTATGTTTACTTCAAAATTAATCTTGATATGTTTGATATGTATAAGGCTTAATAACCTTCATGTTGATGGATTGCATTTTAAAAATCGTGTGCCTATTTCGTATTTTTTGTATTTTTGATTTATCTCACAAGAACACATGCCTTCTGAAATGGGGTCTTAATTATTATTTTTATGATTGTATATATTATAAGCCAATATTGAATGTATACACGCTTGTTTTGTACCACATTGCTGAATTCATATAGCGTCATTTAAGCTGAACCTAGGAAGCGCATTTACACGCATGCGTGTGGATGTGTGTTTGTATGTCTGTGTGTTTAAGAATTATAGCATATATAACATATTTTTTCAATAACAATACTTCTTTTCATTTATCTACTTTCATTCATGATGTTTTCCATTTCCCATTCCTATTTGAAATATGTCATACACTGAATTATGGTTTCTCTTTATGATAAATAAAAATACTACATTAAATACTCCTACAAATTTCATTATTTTTAACTCAAAGATAAATTTAACTTTTTTAACGTTCTCTTAGATGGCAATGTTAAAATATAGTAGACTTACTATGGCTTTTATTATTTACTTTTATTAATTGTCATTGATCTTTGACTTGATTAACCTTTTCTGATCACGTTGTGGATATTAATGTTATTGGTTTATATTATATGCACGCTTTTTTAGTAATAAGACTTTAAAATGTTTTGTACAATTTTGGTTACATTTAATTAACGTTCTGTAAATGAGTTGACTAGCAGAACCATTTAAAAAATCTAAAATTTTAAGTTTTTTCGGCAAAATATAACATGAATATTTCGAATGTTTTTTACTATTTACATTGTTTAACATTTCCCTAGACAGCAAATATTAGCGAAATGTACTAGGCTTATCTGTCCGTAGTGTTTTGTAGCTAGTTGGAACAGGTGGCTGTCATGCCACTACAGCCAAGCCAACATGCAACATCACATGGAATTTATGAAACAACTGCAAACAAGAAATTGTATTGTGCAGTAGTGCAGTGCACATATTCACGTGGCATGTGTAGCCACATAACTTTCATGAATACATACATTTTTAGATTTTTCGTGAGTTAATTTTTTAATGTAATACATTAACCTTAGTAATAATAAACAAAACACTAATCCCGAAGTCAAAGTCATTGTCGTAAACAAATTCGAAGAAAAAAATTAGGACAATGGCGAAAAATCACACAATCTTCAAAAGGCAAATGGCCATGTTCAAAATTCAAATGGCCACCTGCGAACGTTCATAACGATGTGAAACGTCCATTAAAAGCTGCTATATAGTTGGCAAACAGTAAAAAACCATCATATAACATTTGGTGATGGAAGTCTCTACATTTTGATATATTCCGTTAACAAATTATACATTATCATGCTTAGGAGATTTAGTACTGCATGAATCTAGTAAAACTCACTTTATCAACGCCACAATCGAAAAATAATCCAACTATATCTTCAGAAATACATTATGATAATTATTCACTCGCTCGATTCAAGTTACCGTTTATCAAAAACGTCAAAATATTCATTACTGAATTAAACATTTTCGTACTTAAAAAATTGAGTATTCCATGAGTTTAGTTACAAACTACCAGCTTAGTTCGCTATATCTCCGCCCCATACCTAAAATATCGAACTATAGTCCGTTTGTAGTGCCGTAATGCATAATGGCAACAATTCGATCGATTCAAGTTACTATATATCAAAAACATGGAGATTTCTATTACCAATTGAATATTTTTAGACTTATGACATTGAGCCATGTATTGAGCACTACATGAATCAGCATCACGTTATAAAAAGGAATGAAACTTAGAGTTTGTCTCCGGCAATACATAATGATAACAATTTCCTCGATTTGAGTTACCATTTACATAACTGTAATTCCATGCAATCTGAGTATTTATAGGTATATTCCGGTCAAGAAATCTTTTTTTAATAGGCAGGTATCAGAAGCTTTTCTCTAGCTCTCTGTAGCATAAATAAAATATTACTATTAAACTGTCAGAAGAATGACCACTCGTGTGATTACAACCAAAAAAATAAAAAATAACCTTTTTAAATTTTACACAAAACACCTTTAAATAATATGTAAATGTGAATTAAATGCTAAAGTTTAATAAGCATTATAGTTCAATTTCTGCATTAATACTCGGCAGTTTTGCTCATGGATTGGATATATATATCCATGGTTTTGCTTGTCTGACTGAAAGCATCAAATGTCTTCGTGTCAAACTTAACGCTTAACGGCTGTAAAATTCTTAATTCTGTTCTTGTTCATTGTTCATTGTTAGATGGATTTGTTGGATTGGTGCTTTATCCTTTTCGCTGATTTGTTATTGATTAAGAAGTTCTTTAAAAGATCATGCTGCTTTACTTAAATGTGGCTTTTCTTATTATAATTGTTTAATTTTTCAGTTATAATTAAAAAAACAAGTTATAAAATATAATTATTTTATTATTGTAATAATTATAAATATACTTAATATTTTCATTATCAGATTATTATTTTATTCCAAAATAACATCAGCATCAACAACGAAGAAACATAAGGTTAAAAAGAAAAAACTCTATGATCATTTGACAATCTCTGTAGAACAATTCTTCATTGTTTAAGTTAATTTTAGTCTCAGTTCTCAATAATAAACAAAATAAAAATAAACAAGCCTGGTATATTCTAATTCTGTGTCAGGTTAATTATCATTTTTAATTATTTTTTTTCTGTTATTTTGATAATATTAATAATAACATACCTACCTACCTACATTGCACTGTAGGTAAATAATGTATTTGTATTGTATTTGCTTTTGTAATTAATCTGTGGCATTAGGATTAGTAATTAGTATCAAAATTAATTTAATAGTTAACTAATTTTTTTTAAAATATTAAATTGTTTGTTGTGTTATTTAATTTGTTCATTAATTGTGAAGTACAGTTAATTACAGAATTACTTAACTTACATAACAAACATACCATTATTTTATTACTAAAGGATGTTTGAATGTTCCATGCTCATGCTGCCAGCAAATGTACAAAATTATCGCCAGGATCCATATTAGAATAAAAATAACAAAGAAAATATATAATAGTTGGATTTTGTGTTCTTTAACAATATAAGAAGACTTAAGTTGCTTATATTTTTTGTATAATAAATGGCTTATTAATTTATCTAATAAATTAAAGTAAAATTCATGATGTGATCCTGATCACTTACTAGTTGTTTACACTTAAAAAAGCTTATGATTGCTAAATAAACCGTCAATTTTATTTCATTTTTTAAAATTTGAACAATTATTGAGTTGCAATCGTCTTAGTACTAAGATCTATCTTTAGTTCACGAACATACAGTCATGGGTAATTGTTTTCGAACACCAATGCAAGATGATATATCATTGCTGCATGGTTCAGAAACTGCTGCTGATTCCAACGGGTCGCCATCATATATGAATGTTCCACAGATCTCACCACCATGTTCTCATCCTGCTGACCAAGTTGGAATGCTTATTTTTCATAAACTTTGTTACATAATTTTATAATGAAAATAATAATAAAATAAGAATAGGGTCATGGTTTACCATCCAAGTCCTAATGTAACCCGAGCCGCTAGTCAATTGACAGAAGAAGAACAAATTAAAATTGCAAAACGAATTGGTCTGATAGAACATCTACCGTGTGGAATTTATGATGGTAGCACAAAAGCTAAAGAGTTAGTTTATTTTAATCTTCAACTGAGTTTTCATTCTTTTGAAGATGTCCAATCTTTTTTTTTAAAAAACTATTGCCTTTTCTTGATGATCCTACTCTTCTCCTTCTTGTTACTTCGTTAGTCTTATCTAGGATTGATTATTGTAACTCGCTCTACTATGGTCTTCCTGACTCTATACTCTATCCTTTAAGTAAAGCTTTTAACTCTGCTGCTCGTCTAGTTGCTCGTGCCCCTTTCTTTTCTCATATATCTCCATATCTTGTTCTCTTGCACTGGCTACCTATAAAATATAGAATAATTTTTAAAATTTGCACGTTCATGTCTAATTCTCAATCTAAATTATTTCCTAAGTATTTATCAGATATATTAATTGAATCTAAACGCCCCAGTTTACGATCGTCTTCTTCTCGCTTTTTTTTAACTCGTGTTAAACACTCTTTTGCCAAATCTGCTTTTTCTGGTCCTTTTCTCTGGAACTCTCTACCTACTTCTCTGACTACTTCTCCATCACTTGCGAAGTTCAGAGCGGATCTCAAGACCCATCTGTTTTCAAAATTCATTGAGGAGCGCTGTTGAACATCGCGGAAATAGCGCTTTATAAGCTAATTGATTGATTGATTGATTGATTCAGTTTGTTAGCACTTTTGGAAATATTTTATGCATTTGTAATAAATTTATGTCAATTCTTTGATTCCTGTGTATCACCATGTTTATAAATAAATGATTTAAAGCTTATCTCATTGTGAAACACTTCACTTTCTTTTTACTTTTTTTATTGCTGTAGTATTTGAATTATTTTTGTTTAAAGGTGTGTCATCTGTATGGGAGAATTCGTTGTGGGTGACACTTTAAGATACCTACCATGTGTACATATTTATCACAAGAACTGTATTGATGACTGGCTGATGAGATCGTTCACTTGCCCTTCATGCATGGAACCCGTCGACTCCGCACTTCTCATGACATATGAAACCAACTGAACAGATATTGCCAACTTTTAATAAGAATTTGCATCAACTGTAAATTCGTACAGCATAAAAATGATTGCAGCTTTGTAAATATACTACAAAAACTACCATCTAGAGCTATCAAATGTACATTTTTAAGTAAATTATTAAACATTTCATGTACATTTTATTTATTTTGACATAGATGAGAAATCACTCACTATAAGATATTATATCATGCATTTTCGTTTTTCTGTCTTAATGAAAACATTAAGCAACCTAAACATTCCTTATGTGTATAAAAAGTGTATATGTTTGTTACCAAAGTATTTAATGATTTGTGTTAACTCGCAGAATACAATGTTTTCAAATCTCAAAAGAAGAAAAAGCCTATTCCAGTTAATTAAATTTTTAGTTAACTGTTATACCAAATAGCTTATCTACATTTCCCAAGAAAATACTCCAGCTTATTAGATCGAAACAATACTTTTTTTATTAAGACGGATTGTATATACATATTTTATATTTTCTTTATCTGTAATAACCGAACCTATTGTTTCTCAGCATTATTAAAAGATAACATGAATTCACAAGATGTTATAATAAAATTAAGTGTAGACAATATATGTTTTTTGTCCAGCTGTACATTATAAAGTACAAATATAGTTCTAAAAACAGTTTGAAATGAAATGCACATTCATGGACATTGTGAAAACGTGAATATATTGTCTTGATACCAGCCCAGATTGAATCATCTAGTCATGCGAATTCGTTGAACCTATAAAAAATTAATGTCAATAAATTTTAATCTGAAAATGCTAAAAAATAAATTGTGGATAATGTAAAAATTGTAAGAATAATTTGTCAATTACATCAAAGTAAAAACTGATTAAATTTCAGCTGAAAAATAGTGACATCATAAAATAAAAATGTTACTTTTGCCATCACAAGCCACTATTTTAACTTTGTCAACTCTGATGTTGTCGTTCCCATCTCGAAACTCTGCATTATTCAGCACAAAGGTCCACACATTATCACAAAACCTGTACGTATTTAGATCAGCCTGAAATAAACAATAAAGAATGAGAATAGTGATGTTATACTAAAAGCAAGATTTGAAGCTAATTTCATATTAACCAACTAAATGTTAATTTGCTGAGCTTACTTTGAAAGTAATTTTTTTGTTGACTCTATTTGACAAAGCCTGGTTGATGGATTTATCAAACTGTAATAAAACTTTCAAAGCTAGTTGTGGAGTTATTTGTCCAACCTATAGATAAAATAAAACATAAATTAGACATATATATATATATATATATAATAGATAATTCTTAGAATACTGTTTTTTTACCAATTTCCTAACAAAAAGCCATAATTTTTAATTATTAGACGATAATTTTTTATTTTTTTATAATGACAGAATGATGGCTGAATACTAGGGCTATACATATTTAGACTTTTCCAAAACCGGCGGGAGCCAAATTTCCGGATTTGCAAAACACAAATTCGACAGGAGCCAGATTTGTGCTTCAGTCGTATTTAACGGTTTTAGCTTGCCTACATGGGTTCCAAAACTAGAACAGATATTGTTTGATTACAATAACTCAATAAATTAACTTAATTTTTATACAATTTGATTAAATACCTCTTCATTTTTTAATAATGAAAATGACAAAATATAAAAAAAGGACATCAACAAACAATGCAGATAATGATTTTTTAACTAATGCACATGTAACAATGCCGACAATTTTAAGACATAAATGAAATTAAAGTGAAAATAGTGTAACAAAATCTGGCTCCGGCCAAATTTGGACAGAGCTAGATTTGGATGAATGGCTGATTTGGATATTGGCCGGTAAAAAATCTGGTACAGTCCTACTAAAGTTTAGTTCAGTAACTAAACTAAATACACAACCATAACCAAAAAAGTAACAACCTGAATAAGTTCATCCAAGCTCTCCTGAAGTGTATGTCCTAAAGTGGTGTTTCTGTATAGTTGGTAACTCATTTTATTTCAGATTTAGAACAGTTATCAACCAGAGAATCCAAGAAGTGAAGTTTCTAATTAAGTTAATTAATGATAAATAAATAATTTGTTCAGTAAGTTAAGAAAGTTAGATATTAGATAAGCATTAGCATTAAAAAAGATTAAATTAAAACTTTATCTTATTCAAAATAAGAAATATGAGTATACAGTATGTATGATGTATATTATATGACAAATGAGAAATATGACAATTGTTGTGGCAAACAGCCTAACTTTAAAATTTTTTAAATAATTTAACAATATTAATTAATAATGTTTAAAAAAATATTAAATAAATTGTTTTACTGGTTGTTTAGCGGTACGTGTAAATTCGTGTAAAATTAATTAAAAACGCCAAATCAGTATCGGCAATCTATCAATCAATCAATCAATCAATCAATCAATCAGTCATCAGTCGATCTAACTTGACTAAAAACAACGGAGGAACCGTATCTGCGACCTGCGACGAACGAAAACTGCCCACGCTTGCTTTATGGTATGTGCTTATGCTTATATACAGAGAAAAACAAAGAACTATAACTGTACAAAATATATTACTGAGAAACTTGAAGTCAAGGAGTGGTGGATCCCAGTGTTGTTCTTTCATTTATTTCCAACTGTAATTTTAACTTGAGTTATAGTTAAATGTAACTTTAATTATAATCGATCTAAAATATATATCTTTAACTATAATATAACTGTAACTCAACTGACAGGTAAACAGCTAACTTTTGTAATTGTAACTTATTCAATAAATCAATGACTCGATCAAAAAAAAACCTTGGCTAAACTTTAATATTTATTATAATTGACTTTCATCCACTTGTATAACTTATAACGGGGAATATTATGAATTTGAACAGAAATGTTCATGTTTAAATGCAAATTTCAAGTGATGGTGATGTATAACAACATTAAACGCCACATGCGCCAGATAGTTTTATTTGTTTCAGTTTTTTTTAATTACGTCAATTCACGGTAAAGCATACTTGATCCCCAACTAAAACGTGGATGTTATTCCGACTCATATTTAAAAAAGTGTACTTTATTTATTACTTTCATTACGGGTTTTATAAATTTAAAATCTGGTATTGTCTCTTCCTCATGCAATTACGCCATTGTAACTCTTCTTTTGAAAAAAACGATTACTAATAAAGATGATTTAAAAAATTATCATCCGGTTTTAAATCTTTATTTTGTGCCTAAACTTGTCAAACGTGTTGCTGCGATTCAAACTACAAAATATTTGGACTTGCACGGCCTAATACTCGTTAATAACCGGTATATACCTATTTTGCCAAACCAGAACTATACAGCGCAGCTTATGAACCCTTGCGCCATTTCGACTAGAACTTAGTTATTGTGATTCATTTTTTAAAATATTGTGCTTTTGTGTTTATTCGAATACTAGTGCAGGACTAGGCATATAACTGCTTGGATTGAAATTAACAAATGAAAACTGTATTCTTAGTTTGTATTTAATCGTTCATTTACTTTGGGAGCATTGAAGTCATCATACATGTTGCCATATATGGCATGTAATCCGAACATTGCACATCTTACCATATTTTACATGCTTATTTTTAAAAAGGAAAATGTTAGTTTAATATGGAAGGTATTTAATAAAAAATGGTATTAATGAATATCAGTTCAAGTTTAAGACCATCTTTTTTTTACTAAACTCTGGAAAGCATGAGCGTTATTCGCGTATGGTACCTACTGAGTAAAAATATCTTAGTCAACATAACAAATAAAGAATTTTTGAACTTGTTGATTCAACAAAAGTGTAATTTTACGATTATAAAGAAATGCGAGCAAGCTTTCTTCATGGCGCTGTTGTAGAATTTGAAAACGTCGAATTACGCATCTTTGCGACGCAAGAAAAAATATTTTCTTCTATTTATACAGGCACAATGAGTTCGCACGCCAACAAAAATAAATATGAAAAAGGAAACATGCTACATTAGTTAATTTCAAATTGCTCAAAGTAGCTTGCTTTTTGAAAATATTTGTAAGACTAATAAGTCATAAAAAATGCCATGGAAATAAGTGGGAAAATTTTCAATAGAGGAATCAAAGTCAAAAAAATCTGTTAGACCTTGATATTTAAGTTGGTCAGCATCCGCGGATGATGCAGTGCGCACCTCTTTCAGGTTTTTATAAGAATACGAATATTTTTACATTATTAAAAAATTCATCTGGAATTAACATTTTTGTAACCAACAAAATTTTTGTAATATTAAAAAATCAATTAAATTACACAGTTTGGATTAAGTGATCTCGTTTGCTAATTTTTCCCCTTCTAATCGTACTGGACGTTTAGTTGTCGCGGCTGGTAATAAATTAATCCTCATATGCATTCGCGGTAGGATGGGAAGCAATTTTAAAGCCTAATACAGTGAGTCATGAGAATTAGTACTAAAGAACTCAATAAGAAATGATTGAACCGTAAATTATATGTGGCCGACGCGAGACAGATAATTAACATTCAATGACCACCCCATTTAATAAAATTATCATAGGGGAGTCTTTTGAAGTTATTCCATATGCACAAACAGTAGTAACATGATTTGATTTTATATTTATACGTGATAAGTTCTAAGTACCAGATTTGACCAATACGAAAAATAAACTCGATTTTGAACACGCATCAAGCTCAAAAAACACTGTAATCAATTGTACGTATTTTAACTAAGGACAAACATGCACACATGATCACATACACCCGCTATTATATTTACATAAATCTATATAAATATAAGTATTCATGTAAATATACACACACACATCATATATATATATATATATAAACATATATACATATTTGAAATATCTTAATAGAAGAAAAAATAGCCGAGGTTGTTCCACGGTATGCAGATTAGACTTCACTAGTGAGTCTATTTTACGATAAAAAAGAAGCTAGCTTGCTAATATATAGAGATGTAGAGAGGAAAAACAAAACAATAGATATCAAATTAAATTTTGACGTTATATAATGTTCGTTCGTAACAAATTAAGTTCGTATTTATCGCAACAGTGATTAGTCAATAGGGCGTACAAAAGATACGTGGATTTTCACCAATAGAGAAAGAAAAAACCCTAAGAAAAAAATTGAGAGGTGCAATCGTAACAATCCCAAGAAGGTAACTTTAGATAAAGTTATTCCTTTCACGTGTAAATTGGATGCAGTTCTGAAAGTTAATCATATTGAAAAATAAACGTAATTACAAAATATAGCGAAAAATTTGAATAAATTAATAATTTGGTTTTTGAGATTGCTATAACTTTAATTTAATTGAAATAAAAAAAAAACTGGTTAAGCTTATGTAACTATTTAATTTAAAGTTATGCACCAAAGAAGTATTGATGGTCCCCTGAATTTTTTAAATATCAGATTTCCACCACATCCATGCAAATTCAAACATGCGAAAAGTAACATATACATGCATGCATGCATGTTCATTTATGTACATGATAAGACCTAGACTAAAAAAAATATATATACACACAAAGATGTACAAACGGACCATGCACACAATAAAAATTAACATATATGTAATATATTCACTAAATAATTATAGTAAAAATTGTAAACATATTTTACAAAATTTATGCTGCATCCATGTTCATATGTTCTAACATTGAAGTGGTTGGTGCATCCACAATTAATTCATTTGCATTTAATAAAACGTGGTTGCTATTAACATTATCGTTATCACTGCCTTGAATAAGTTCTGATAAATCGTAATTTCTAGGAATAGATGCAATTGTTTGTTCTTTATTGCTGTTATGCAGATTAACTGATATTTGTGAAGAATGTGCATTAAATAGTTGCGAAGAGCCTAATGGTGAACATTTATCAAACGCATCAGTTCCTAAGTCATCTTTCATAGACTCGTCCATCGGTAGAACGTCAAAATCATTTTCGTTGCTTTTGTTGTTCACACTAATGTTACTCTCACTGAAACCACCCAAAATGTTGTTACAATTACATATATTGACACAATCATTTACTGAGCATGTGTTGGCTCCAGGTATGATGGCATTTGATGACGAAGAAGATGAATTGACACAAGCACCAGCTTCTAAGACAGAAAGTATATTTTCTGGAGTCATGCTACCCTCGGGATCAACAAGATCTTGAATGCTTGCAGACAAACTGTCTAATGTCGGTTCGATGCCATCGTCTGAACATAACTTTTGCATTGATGGCGGTAGATGGGTGCTGGTCATGGTGTCTGATGTAGATGTAGATAAACAAGACATTATAATCCTTGCTGCCCCCCCACCACGGCCCATTATATCACTTTGAGAAAGAATAGTGTTATTAATTAATTCGGATGAAGCAGCAGTTGTGCAACAAGTAGGTGGCCTGTTTACTGTATCAAAAAGCATGTTAATGTCAGAGATGGTTAGTTCATGATGGTCTGGGACAACTGGAATATGAGACATTTGTGTTGATGCTATAAGACTGTCGACATCATCAACTGATTCTAAAGGACAATCTTGTTGATGTTTAGAGATGCTACAACTATAACCTGCTTCTTGATTTAACGGGTCAACGACAGGATAAAAGTTATTCACTCCAGGATTAGCTGGGAACGAAGATGTATTACATATTGTTGGCCCAAAAATGTGTGACGGAGGAAACGTTGACTCTACATGTTGTTCGTAACACATGTTGCGATGCATATCTGGATGAGTTAAATGATGGACATGAAGTAGCGAAAATGATGGTTCTGTTCCAACACATGACAACAAGTGATGGTTGTTTAGCTGGCTAGATGAAGAGGATGGAAAATCGTAGCAAGATTTATTAAAACACGAGGCTGATGTCGACGATACGTTATTTATAATGTTATTGTTGCAGCTACCAGAATATGTGGCTGCAAATAAATTATTATGAGTCAATTCATCAAACGAACATGGCACATTTCCTGATTTGCTACAATAATCAGCAGATAAGTCACAACATTGATCTGAATAACCCATCGACGATGATGACACTGCTGTACACGTCGCTTGAGATGAATGCCTGCTGAAGTCGTTGCTGAGGAGACTGTTGAAATTTTTGTTGTGCAACAAAGAAGCGTTATTTACCAGCCCAGTTGTTTCAATCAAAGGATTTTCAAATTCTGATATGAATCGATCCATATAATCTCTGTGAAGAAAAAGAACATTTTTATAAATTAATTATCTGGATAAACATTCAGTAACTGAAATATCACTAACAAACAACTGAAATAGATACAGTCTAGAAATGTGTGCACATAAGAGTGACAAACAGAAGCAAACTAACGTGACACCAGGATGTAGAGAATACTTTTTTTTCTCCAATCTTGTTCTTGCAGCAAAGGCATCGTGCCTTTCTGTTTTCTTCCACAAATAGTAAAACTGAACAATTTCTCGAACAGAGCGGGTTTTAACCTGAAAAACACAGAATTAAAGATTTTTCAATTGAAAAATTATGAAAACTATACAGAATGAAAAAAAATTGTTACACGTAAAAATGTGTCAAAAGACAGTTTTTATAGTGAAAAATTCAACAGAATGGACATATGAATAATTTTGTTATGTAAAAATTTTGAATAACCTTTTGCTGATTGAGAAAGAAATCTTTTCCATATTGTCTGAGGCCCATCTCGAAGTTTCGACATTCTTCCTCTGTCCATAAGCTCATGGGATCTACATTAGAAAAAGTTAATCTATTGAGACACTAAAAGTGGAGGTGACCATGAAATATTTATTTAATCAAGAACTTGCCTGTATGAGGAACAGCTTGCAATTTGTGTCTTCTAAGTGCTTCTTCACAATTGTTATCACACTGAAGAAGCAAATAGAGAGCCTGGATAGTGGGGTAGAGAAAAATTGTGTCCCAATAATTTTCATGCATGACAAATTATGAAATGAATTAGAACTCATACACAAAAACAGTTGCTTAGCTGGCCCTTCTCAAGAAAAAAACTAATTCACATTTGGGTTGTCAAATCACACTTTCAAGCAAAATGTTCAAGCCATGATAATTGGCTAATTTAAAACACAATTGCTGCTTCAAAATAACTGTTAATAATTGAAAAGTTTCAAACTTGAAATTTTATAACACACCTTTAATGCCTATGCTGAATGCATACAAAGTCAATTATTTAAAAAACTTGAGGAAAAAAGATTTTTTCTATAAAATTTCAATGAATGAAATTTTAGTGTAAACCTGTTCATCATCACGTGTAAATGACCCAACTGGTATAACATTAATTCCTTGTGCCTTCACCTGACTGTACTTGTGTATCTCCATCAAATAGTTGGCAACTGCATTCATAGAGACCAAAAAACATAATTAAGAATGATAATTTAATTATTTAACTTAATTTATTTAAAATAAAACCAAATTTGGTTAATTAAAGAACAGAGCGACAAATGCAAAAGTAAACAAATTGATTGAAAAATTAGAAAAACCATCAGCTTCATCAAGCAAATCAGGGCTCCACAGCATTCTGTCTTCATAATTAAGATCTGCATAATAATTGCAATCATTCCACAGTTCAGATGCTATGTAATTAATGAGAATATGGACTACATAGCTGCTAAAATAGATGATGTTTGTGATTGGTTGAGAGTTGGTTAAGGTCAAGTGGACAGATTGGTTAATGTTTAGGAGCATGAAATAATGCATTTATATTTTTTAAATTTGAGCTGCAACAATATTATTTTATTTGATAGAAACATAATTGCTTTGGTAACATTTTATTTTGATGAATATTTTTTAAAATAGAGAATTCCGAAAAGAACAGCTACAAAACTTTTAAATTCTCCTCAAAAAAATTGATATTGAACCGACAACAGCTCAGCTAACAAAAGTAAGGTAGAAGGTGGTCAGGAAGAAAAGGAAAAACTTAAGGAAGAATGATGGTCGAGAATGATAGACGAAAAAAGGTCACGGGTGAGTTTATTTTTTGAGTTATCATCTTGGGAATAAAAAATTTGCAACATGACTTGAACACGATTTGTAAATAAACATTGAAGTTGAATGAACAAATTTTTAAAAAATTATGAAAATATATGCTGATGTGAAGAGTATAAAAGAAATGAATGTGGTATAAGAATTTAATTCTCGATGAAATAAAACATACAATAATTTTCAAACAACATACCAGATACATAGGCCTCAGATGCGCAAAAGTTTTCTGAAACAGTGGCCTGATGATCCAGTCCAACTGGTACTGACTGTACAAAATAAACAAAAGAGAGTAAATATTCATTACTGAATTTAAAATTTTTAATGATTCAAAATTCCTTTTTCAAAAACAACATAAATTACGATTTCAGTAAAATAATTCTAATTATACATTTATATTGAAATCAAACCTTTAATTGAAACATTCTGATCCACACAAATTAAAATCATGCTTCATAAAATCCATAACTTTTTATTTGAAACTACCATTTTAATTTTTCTGTTTTATTTCTCAATAATAAATGTAATTGTAAATTTTTCAAAAGGTGATATTTTTCCATTAGTAAATAAGTGGTAATAAAAACATTCAGCATTGATAAATTCCTTTAAATCATCCTAACAAAATTTTGTATAATTCTATCTAAATAATTCCAAAATGAATAACTGCAAAAAATAAAGAGAAAAATAAAATTGTAAACAAAAATTTGCATTGATACATGTCGATCCAACTTAACTGACAATCTATAGTCTATAATAACAGCATTACAATCATTAATTTTCTCAGAAATTAAGCATGGACAAATTCATTTAAACAAATTACTGACAATCTTATTTCTGCAACAAGGCTTCATTATAATTGCATCCAAGAAATTAGGATAGCAAATGTTTCAAGGAAATAAATTAGTATTTAATATCATAAATATGCAGATTAAGCTGTTGGGTAAAGAAAATAAAAAACTTTTGTCAAACTTTAAACTTTTACTTTTCAATTTAAGAGATTCGATTACAAAATAATAAATTAATATCATTGGTTTAATTATCTGGTAATATTTTCTTGACTTAATATGAAATAAAAATTTCAGAAATTTGAATTTAACTCCCATAGAAAACTTGAATATGCATACATAAACCAAAGTTGATGTAGCATGACTTTTGAATTTATATACAACTATTCAAATAAATTAAAAAAAGCGACAATACCTTCTTCCAATCTTCTTCATCTTGTTCTGGATCATAATCTTCATCATCATCTGATCCAGCGTCAATAAGATCAGCTGATTCAAATATCAATTAAAGGTAATTAATAATAAAAAAGGATTTGATTGATTGTTCTGCTATGAATATAGTTTCTAACAACATCAACAACAACAATGCAATGTTTCTAATGATCATGAAAAAACAGCTAAAAAACAATAAAAAATACAAAATTAATATTTTCGGAAAAAAATTATGAAAAATAAAAAGCTAATAAGTTTCAATTGACTTTCCATCAATAAACTAAGGTAACTGTAATCACATTTCAACAATCATGATGAAAGGAATTGTTTATAAACCTGAAAAAAGATCAGATGTGTTCATTTGAGCATTAGGGCCGAATGCATTGTTACTAAGAGTCATATCAACATTGTTTAATTTATCTGAATCATCCATTGTTGTAAACTGGTCTGCTGTAACACTAGTAGGTTCAATTAAACTGGCTTTCTCACCATTAACTAAAAAATTTGTAGAAGCATTGTCTTCGTTTTCTTCATCAGCACATGCGGAAACAGTACTGGCTTGCGGTGATGATTTACTGGCTGTTATTTGTACATCAGAATCAGCTGAAGATGATGTGACAATGGCATCGGTTTTCTGAGAGGGTGTTTCTTTACTGTAACCATACATGGCCAAAAGTTCCTCGACAGGAATTTCACTTTCCTGAAAAAAATTAAAGAATGTATAAGAATTCAATAAAACAATATGATACATTGTGGCAAACTAAAAGGAAAGGCAATGTGACAAGTTATATAAGGAAAACATCATTTTATAATTAAAGTTATAAATACAATGCAGTTGTTTTAATAAAAAAAAACTAAATACTTTCTGTAAGTCATCCAACTCATTGCCGATACTGTCTTCATTACTCATGGCTTCTTCTTCATCTAATGTCTGTTCATCGTCAAAATCATGTATCAGCATGTCAGCAGAAGGGTCAAATGAAGGGTCTTCATCTGAAAGCAAAGTTATGCATGCAATTGATTGGTTGAGTTTTGCTGAGGAGACATTATTTTTTTCTCCAAACAAACTCATTTGAAAGCCAGATATTCATAATAGCAAATATGTTTTTAAATTTTTAAATAATGAAGAAATTTGTGTTTTAGTTTAACTAATTGTATTGACAACCCTTATTTGCTATTTTAAAAAAACATAAGTATAGTGTGAGGAAAGATAATTTGAAAATCAATTGAGGTAATATACATTGTAAATAAATACATAAATTATTTGTATTCATGTTAAAAAATTATTTAGTACAGCCAAGCCACTTTCAGTTATTATATAATTTTATAATAATACAACAAACACCAATATCAAATTTTATGTTTTATAATATCTAAAATTGGAATTTCAAGTTCTAAAAAAATTAAAATTAATTAAAATTAATTATTATCATGTTATAAAAGAAATGAATGATAATAAGAGTTTATTCAAAATTTAATTAAATAATTACACATGAAAAATAGATACATACATGACCAGTCTTTTAAATTAGTATACTTTTTAAAGCACACAAACAACCCGACATTGCATTATATAGGATGCACATCACACACACACACAAACACAAAAGTTGAGGAGTAGAAAATAAATTTTAATAAAAACTATTAACCAGGGCTAGAACGACTAACATCATGATCGTGCTGTTAAAAATTTTTAATTTTAACTTAAAAAAATAATTATTGAAATAAAATTAAAAAATCAAAATAAATTTTATATAACTACATTATAAAAATAGCAAATTAAAATGCGGAACACCAAAATAAACACATGATCATGTGACCCGAAATCTAATTAAATTGTACGGCAGCCATGTTCATTAAAAGTAATTTAGTTACACACATTTTCAAACCTAAAATGCACAATCTTATCCACAATTTATTAAACACAAATATGACGCCAAAAAAAATTCAAATCAAAACTTTGCTTATAAAAATAAAATAAATTTTGCTTACATCCGCCATTTTTCAAAAATAATGACGCTCAACACATAGTTGCCCAAAACTAAACAAAATTTCAACAAAAAGGAATATAAAGCGCCGCACATTTAATGGTTTTATTAATGGTTTTCATTATATATATGGTTTCAAAGAAATTTCTTTGACTAAAACGATTTTTCTATATAATGATCTTTGGAGGTTTCAAAATGTTGTTATGCTTTTTGATTCTATTTATTTATTGTAAATTTTCACTAGAAAAAGAAATGGCACTGACACCAATAAATATTATTTATATTGGCAGAAAACAACGCGTCAGAAGCAAAAGAGAAAAATACGGCTGACAGAAAATCTGTAATGTTTCTTTTTAATAAAGTGTTAAAGGTTCCGTGCAAGAATACGGATATAAAAAGTGTGTTTAGACTTGGAAAAATCAAAGAAGGAGAAAATGGAAGACCTCTTTTGATAGAATTTCTTGACGGAACACTGAAAAACAGAGTTTTAGAAAATTTGTCAAAACTCCGAAATGCGGATGAAAATTTTAGAAGGATATTGGTGATTCACGATATGACAAAAACAGAAAGAGACCAATGCCGAGAGCTAGTGAAGGAGTCAAAAATTAGACAAAGCAAAGAAACATCGGAATTTAGAATGAACAACCCGATATCATAGGTATAACTGAATCATGGGCGAAAGATAGTGAGATAGAACTGAACGGATACGTAATGTTTAGAAAAGACAGGGGACACAGTAAAGATAAAGGACAGGGCGGCGAAGTGTTATTGTACATAAGCGAAAAACTGACTGCACTGGAAAGAAAAGACCTGAAAAACGTAATAATGGGAGACTTTAACCACCATATTGACTGGAATCATAGAAAAAGCAAAAAGCTGGCAGACGAACTGTTTCTGGACTGCATAGACGAAAACTTCCTTACTCAGCATGTGATGGAGCCAACAAGAGGAGAAAATATATTAGATTTAATAATATCAACGGAAGAGAACATAATAGAAGAAGTTAGGGTAGGAGAAGAATTTGGAACGAGCGATCATAGGATACTTAGATTCAACATAGTGTTAGAGCAGAAAAAAGAAGACGAGGCGAGGCTTATTCAAAGCGCTACAATTATTTCAAAGCAAACTACGACAAGGTCAGAAATAAAATCATAGAGATGAACTTGGCAGAGCGATTGAAAGATTTGGGAGTGCAAAATAAATGGAAAACCTTTGTGTCCTGTATGAATAAAGTTGTTGAAGAAACTATACCGACTATCCGGAGAAGCAACAAAAAGCTACCGTGGATAAATAAAAATGTACAGAAAACAAGAAGATCAAAATTTAAAGCATGGAAGAAGATGCAGGAGTTAAGACAGAGATATCTCAGAAATGCTAGAGATATCTCAAAAAGTGAGTTAGAAGCAGCAAGGGATAAATACATCAGAAAGAGAAATCTAGCAAAAGCAACAAACAGGAAAGCAATAAAGGAATATGAAGAAAAGCTAAGTGAGAACATAAGTAAAGGCAGTAAAAGCTTTTTCAGTTACATGAGAAGTAAACAAAAAAGGAAAGATAAAGTGGGGCCTCTGAAGACTGATCATGGCAACATTGTAACGGAAGAAAAAGAAATGGCTGAGATGCTCAATAACTACTTTGGATTGGTGCTGACAAAAGAAAATACAAATAACATAAAGGAGCCAAAAAATTGCTTGGGGGAAGCCAAGAAAGGATGCTTACAAGTGTTTACATAACAGAAGAGATGGTTGTCGAAATACTAGGCAGTCTCAAAGAGAATAAAACTCCAGGAATAGATGAGCTGCACCCAAAATTTTTAAAGGAAATAAGACATGAAGTAGGAGCCACACTGTGCAAAATATTTAATGACTCTTTAAGATCAGGAGATATACCAAGGGATTGGAGAGACGCTGTCGTCACGCCATTGTTCAAAAAAGGACGTAGAAGCGAAACTAGTAACTACAGACCAGTTAGTTTAACTTGCATTATATGTAAAGTATTAGCAGTGGCGTCACTAGGGGGGGTGCGGAGGGTGCGGACCGCACCGGGTGACACCCTCACAGGGGGTGACACCAAAATATCACTGTATATGTTTTTATGTCCCTCCATGAAATTATTCTTATCATTAATTCAGCCTAACCCGCCCAGCGCCCAGAAATGTATTATGAATAAAATTTTTTTCGTTCAAATCATTTTTGTATTCGACATTTATACCATTCAAATTCGACGTCCGAATTATTAAGCGCCGCGGCCGAGCACATTCAACTTGTTCGTGTTTATAAATTTTGCTAAGAATGCTGTATGTCTATGGGGTATCATGAGAGGGGTGACACCATGAGTTACCGCACCGGGTGACACCAACCCTAGTGACGCCACTGAGTATTAGAAAAAATGATCAAGAGGAGTATAGTCGAGCACTTAAATTCTAACTGCATAATCAATGACAGCCAACAAGGTTTTATGAAAGGACGATCCCGTCTATCTAACCTATTGGATTTTTTTGAAGATGTTTATGCTAAGCTAGACCAGGATAACTCGGTAGACGTAGTATATTTAGATTTTGCAAAAGCATTCGACAAGGTGCCACATAAAAGGTTATCCAAAAAGTTACAGGCATGTGGGGTAGAAGGAAATCTGCTACAATGGATAAAAAATTGGCTGAAAGATAGGAGACAACAGGTGCGGATAAAAGGAATAAACTCAAGATGGATAGACGTAACAAGTGGCGTGCCCCAGGGATCGGTATTGGGACCGCTATTATTTGTGATATACATTAACGACATCGACGAAGGAATAGTCTCCAAGATTTCAAAGTTTGCAGATGATACCAAATTATGTGGAAAAGTCAACAACGATGAAGATGCAGAAATATTGCAAAAAGACCTAGCAAGACTGTACCAATGGTCCAAGGACTGGCAAATGCTTTTCAACGTTGACAAATGTGCAGTCATGCACTTAGGGAGGAAGAACGCTAGATATGAATATAAAATTGGTGAAAGAGAACTACGATCGACAGAGGAAGAAAAGGATCTAGGAATCATTGTTCATCAAAGCACAAAACCGTCAAGACAATGTACAGCTGCAGCGGCCAGAGCCAATACGATCTTGGGATTTATAAGAAGAACAGTGGTCAGAAGAGAGAAGCATATTATACTGAAACTGTATAAAACCCTGGTCAGACCTCATCTGGAGTACTGTGTTCAAGCATGGAGCCCATATATGCAGAAAGATAAAGAAGTTTTGGAAAAAGTACAGCGAAGAGCCACAAGAATGATTAGAGGAATCGGAAAAATGGAATACGATGAGAGATTGAAAAAATGCGACTTGACATCATTGGAAAAAAAGATGTAGAGGAGATCTAATCTAAACATATAAATTGATCACGAATAGGGAAACAACACCATACTCGAGATTTTTCAGGCTAGTAAACAGTGATAAACTACGAGGACACAGATTTAAGATTTTCAAAAACTCGGATGGAAAAATAAAGAGCAGATTCTTCAGCAGTAGAGTGGTCAACGCCTGGAACGAGCTAAACGATGATGCAGTCTCTGCGAATTCACTCAACAGCTTCAAAGCCAAACTCGGACAGATAGGATATTAGGAGATCTAATTAGTAGTGGTTCTTACACAGACCATAGTCTTCTGAACCACTTTAAAACCCCGTTAATAATAATAATTAATAATAATATATGTATGTGATTACATATTATACAGAGATTCCCCTATGACAAAGATTATTTAGTACAATTATAATATTGTAAACTTTCTCTGTCAGACCTAATTTTTAGTTATATAGTTCAATTCCTATGTTAAAATTTTTTGTATTTTAGCCATATACATATAAACTGACACTGAAAATGCCCTATCGTATATTTCTCATTTGAAGCATGCGAAGAAAATGCATCACTCATCCGTTATATCGGGTTTGAGGATCCCAGCAGGTGATATTTTACATTGTAAAGCTAGCGGTGTAAGACAAAGACGTAATTGCTTTCATGTAAATTTTCAGATGAAAAGCTTCCCCTCACTTTTTGTAGGTAATTTAATGTATCAGGGGTTTCGTGGCCGAGTAGTTAGCGTGTCCGTCTACCGCTCCCACGACCCTGGTTCGAATTCTGCAGTTTCTACAGGTTTATCCGGGTAGCCGACCCCCGGTCAATCCAGCCGTCCATCTTTTTGAGGCTGGTAAATGGGTAGACGACGTAAGTTGTCGCATGTTGGCCGGCGTGATGGCTCAGTGGTTCAAATGCACGCTGAGTCAAACATCTCCATGGCTATCATATACTCAGCGTATATGATGCGGTGCTTGCGCGTGCACATAAATACATGTGTACGTCGTGTGAAAATGATAAACAGCTTTTGTGGCAAAGATGGCTGCTTCAAATCAATGGTTGAAAAAATAAAGAACATAAAAGATATACAGATAATATATCTGTAATATTGTAAGTAGTTCTGCGTATGGCAGAGCTGCAATAATAAAGACTAAAAAAAAGTATATTGTACAGTACCAATAAAGTCATCACATAGCGCGTTAAATTTTAGTAGATTAATTGAGAAGCAATTTATAAATATCAGACTAATTTGGATTTTTTGAAAAATTATTATAATTTAATTTAGAGTTAAAATTTGAAAAATCGAAAAGGTTTATTCGCTTCATCATCGGTTCGCATTGTTGTTACTTTAATTTGCTACGTAAATCTTTTTTTCAATTGTGTTCAATTAGGATTGTCAATCAGGATTGTGCTGGGACTCCTTATATTATTTTTTTTTAGAAAAAGTAATTCAAGAGCTGCAGAGGCAGGTTTTTTCTCAACATCAACCTGACTAGGGACTCGAATTTGCTAGTAAGTTACTGTACTCTTGCTTGATTTGACTTTTTTGAATTTTATATTTGTTTTGACTTTTTTGATTTGATTTTCTTGTATGAATTCTACCAAATTGTTGCAAATGTAGGGAACTACTGAATTGTTGGCAGCATTTTGGTAGAATTCATATAATTTTATTAAAATACTGTATAAAAAATGGTTTCCTTTCAATGTATATTTGACATTTCCTCGTCACAAATAATCTGACTCAACTGACAAATAACTCCGGGATGCCGGCTAATGCCCTGGCTTATGATTTTATCTACTGAGTTAATTTTAAAATTGCTATATGTATATAATATAATATATTAGTATAGAGAGATATAGAGTTAGAGACAGATAATGGGATAGTGGGTGAAATGTGAGATAGGTACTCCTTTGGTATCATCCATGTTTACAAACAATCATAATGTACTTTTAATAAATTAACTCCGCCCATTTTGAATTATATAGAGCTTGATTATTTATTTATAATTTATATCAAATTGAAAATAATTTTATTAGGTAAGTTTTTTTTAGATTATTACTTGTCAAATAGTTGAAATAGTGAACATTAAATAAAAAAAAGTTAAAATATGAGTAAATTTCCGTTTTGATAACAATCAATGGTTTATGGAGTGGTTAACAGGGTTAGGGTTAGGGCTTCCCTTTTTAACAAAATTTTCAATCATTTCACAAATATGGAGTGGTTAAAATTTACAATCATTTGTGAAATGATTAAAAATTTTGTTGAAAATGGAGGCCCTAACCCTAACCATGTTAACCACTCCATAAGCCATTGATATTTAACAAGTAATGATCTAAAAAACTTACCTAAGAATTAACTTGTGTTAAATTACTTACCTAAGAATTAACTTGTATTAAATTATTTTCAATTTGATATAAATAAATAATCAAGCGCTAGATAATTCAAAATGGGCGGAGTTAATTTATTAAAAGTACATTATAATTGTTTGTAAACATGGAGTACCTATCTCACGTTTTACCAGGATAGTGTACATATGCATATATGTTTTCATTCGCCATTACTGCTTTTAATGATTGTTATCTTTTAATTTAATTGAAATTTTACACTATTTAAAAAAACAACAAATGTTGTTAGAAATTTTTCTTTTTTTGTAGATCCAATATAATACTTGGTATATCATACAGTTTGTTACACAATGTCTGGTGGTGCCAGTTTGCCACCTCCAGGAAAGAGGAAAGAAATTTATAAATATGAGGCTCCGTGGACATGTTACAGCATGAACTGGAGTGTCAGACCGGACAGAAGGTTTCGACTGGCTCTTGGTAGTTTCATTGAGGAGTACAACAATAAAGTAACCTCTGGTTTTTATTATTGCAAAATCATTAAAATATCATCTGGTTTTGCATTGCAAATGTTTGTAAAAAAATTATAAAGTTTTAGGCTAATTACTTATTTCAATATAGTTTTTTTGTTTGTGCTATTTTATAATTTTCTTCTATTTTTCATTTTACAAACTTAGGACTAAATATTACTGCTCATATTATGCAGTTGTTTCTTTTTTATTTTTATCACAGCTTAGAGGTAAGCTTCAAAGTTATACAATCAAAGCATCGATGTGAGCTCATTATTTACAATACTTTATGTTATAAATATTATGTCCTGGTTATGACATTAAACTGACCCTCACTGCCTTGTGAGTGATGTTGGATCATCAAAGGCTAGGCCCACCGCTTATAACTGTGGTTGCGTAAGGAAGGGCGTCCTGCGTAAAAATTAGCCAAATAAATTACTTATGATGGAATGGCGTCGAGGGGTATTTCGGTTTCATCATAGGTAGCCAAACGGCAACCCCCAATCTTGGGGAAAATGTCGTCTAAACGTGTGTTGTTGTTGTTGTTTGTCATTCCAATAATTCTGGGCACTTCTTTTCAAGAATAGTTATATGTGATTATGCTTAAATTTCATTTAAGATAATAATTAACATTTTTTAAGAATAAAAGTAGTAATGTTTAATTTCAAAAGTATTACTACATTGTAAAACAAAAAATAAAAGGTGCAGATTTTATCACTTGATGAGGAGACTTCGGATTTTATTTGCAGGCACACATTCGATCATCCATATCCCACCACAAAAATCATTTGGATTCCAGATACAGTTAGTGATGCATTTTTTTCATCTCATATTGTTCACGTGTGTATGTATTACTTCGCTGTTGAAATTTGTGACAAATAATTATATTTGCATAGTTCCTAAGTTTTGAACGTGTTAAATATTAGCTACAGAATTATGAATTTTAAAAAATCACCCATCTTTTTAACTCACCAATATAGATGTTTTGATTTTTTAAATAATTTCAAATAGAATAAAAGATTATATATTTATAAGGCAATTTAACATCAATCCTGTTTCAATTTTCCCATTTTAATTGTTCTAAAAAAATTTTTGTAAACAGAAAGGTGCATTTTCGGACTTGCTTGCAACCAGTGGTGATTACTTGAGAGTCTGGAGAGTTTCAGACAACGAGACGAAGATGGAGTGCCTCCTTAACAACGTGCTTGCTCTCTCCTTTTCTTACTTACCTTCTTTTATTTTGTATTTACGCACTTCTCACTGATCACATCGTGAACACATTAATAACTGCCATCTGTTTGTACTTCAGAGTTGAATTTATTGTTAACTGTAGGTCAACTTAAATATTTCATCACTTAAATTTATGTACAAATTAGTTTGCCAGGTTTTTTAAAAATAATGTTGTTTATGGGTCAAATTGTTTGAAATGAATTGATCTATTGCTATATTGCAGAACAAAAATTCAGATTTCTGTGCACCTCTGACGTCATTTGATTGGAATGAAGTTGACCCTAATCTGCTGGGCACCTCGAGTATCGACACAACGTGCACCATCTGGGGACTGGAGGTGATATTCCATTCAACATTTCATTTAATTTATTTTTGCAATCTATAATTCCAACTTAACTCACATATGAGAATAAAATTAATGTATATGCATATGTTGTGTGTGTTTCAGTATAAATAATATAATTAGTATGATCTAAATAGTTGACTGAATTTTGAAAGATGTGTTATGTATGAGCTGATGGTATGAATTTATTTGCATAAATCGGTTTATGTGATGAATTGATTGATGTGATGAATTGTTGACAGACAGGACAGGCCATAGGACGAACAAATCCAGTGACAGGGCATGTGAAAACCCAACTGATAGCTCATGACAAGGAGGTTTATGACATAGCATTCAGTAGAGCAGGTGGTGGAAGGGACATGTTCGCCAGTGTTGGTTAGTGTTGCATTGTGAAAATAATGCGCTCTTCCTATGTTGTCAACACAGAAATGTTTCAAATAATTGTTTTCTCAAAAATATTATCATTTTTCTGAATTTTTATTATTGTTAGTTTTCTGGGTTTAAATCTGAAAGAATCAATTTAAATAGACGGATTAGTTGATTTGGTGAAGAAATGACTTAAATTAAAGGCAAATCAATTTGTAGGATTCAAGATGAATATAAATTCATGGTGAATATAAATTAATGAAGTTGAATGAATGAACAAATGATCAACATTGGCATCATAAAAGTGAATGACTTGTAATAGATGAATGACACAAGATAAATTGATACTGACATATTATACGTTGATGGTAATGAATTTATAAATTGACTTTAAATGACTGAACTGATGTAAATTATTGTGACATGTTCAAAGGGGCTGATGGATCGGTGCGTATGTTTGACCTGCGTCACCTGGAGCACTCGACAATCATTTACGAAGATCCACAGCATCTACCTCTTCTACGTCTTGCATGGAACAAACAGGACCCTAACTACCTTGCCACAATGGCTATGGATGCTCTGGAAGTTTGCACTCAATATATCTCTACTTCTTATCAACAGTTGTCTTCACTATGTTTTTTGTTCATTCATTAGCAGGAAATGTATTTTTACTCATTTTATCAACGATTGCTGTGTCACATTCAGTAGTTGAATTTTCAAAATCTGTGACAAAACTATCAGCTTTTTAATTTATGCATGGCGGACATTTTATGCGTTTGTTCAACACAAACATCGAAAAGCAAGAGCACAGATTCACGCCACAAATATTATGAAGACATCTTTTGTCTATCCATTTGTTTCTATGCTCGGCTTTACTCAATTGCACTATTTTTTAGCTATATCTAATTGACGTTAAATTATTTTTAAATAATTCAATGCCTTGTCGTGGTGTATGAAATCACAAGATGTGCAATCTCAAAGAAATAATTTAATGTGAGCTAAGCAAACATTGGTCTTTATATCCTCATTTTGTGACAGAATTTCAAATTGTCAACGGACTGGTTTTTTTTATGAAACGCCAACAAACCAATCAACCAGCCAATCAACCAGCCAATCAAACAACCAACCAAACAAATAAATTAATGCTCCGTGCAGGTTATTATACTGGATGTTCGTGTGCCGTGTACACCTGTGGCCCGATTGAACAACCATCGAGCATGCGTCAATGGAATCGCATGGGCACCTCATTCCAGCTGTCACATTTGTACTGCTGGTTGGTTTAGACCTCTTTCTCACTTCCATTCTTAATTACTGCTGGAATTTAATTACTGCTTCTATAAATCATGTGTATGCTGTGAGGCATAAAAAAAAGTTTTAATATTCCTTGTTTTAAATTTGTTCAATGCTAATTTATTAAATGAAAAATGTTAGTTTAAAGTTTTTAATTAATAATATAATAAATGATATTTTATGCTACTGCTATTAAAATAAATGATGTAATATCATAATAAATTAATAAATAAATTAACTAATTAATTAATTAATGAAGTAAAGAAATAAATAAATGAAGAAGTGAAGAAATTATATAACATTTTAATGAATGAATATGATGATGGTCGCATTTATCATTCTATTAATTAATTAATTAATTAATTAATTAATCTGTTAATCAATTCATTAGTTAATCGTGTTAATAAATGAATTACGTCGGATATATCATGTTAGATGGACGTTGCATTAACCATATTGAAGTGAATGTAAATGACAGAATACAGTGGCAGCCATATTCAATGAATAACGACATTACCTTTCTCTAGCTGATGATCACCAAGCTCTCATCTGGGACATCCAACAAATGCCTCGAGCGATAGAGGATCCGATACTGGCCTACACGGCGTCAGGGGAGATCAATCAGATACAGTGGTCATCTATGCAGCCCGATTGGATTGCCATCTGTTACAACAACTGTCTCGAAATTCTTAGGGTTTAAGAAGAGTAGGTTGTCCAGTGAATGATGTGTGCGTGTGTGTTTATGTGCGTGTGTGTGTGTTTATGTGCGTGTGTGCTTGCTTGCTTGTTTGTTTGTATTTTTGTAAGAGTGTGTGTAATGTTAAATTATTATGAGGGAATGTGATAATTTTATGAACAATTTTTAGTTGATATTCATTGTTTTTATTTATCGAAATTTTACTCATCTGAGTTTTCTTTTCTCAATTTTAGGCTAGGAATTTATCTGTAGAAAGAATAAACGTTTTCAATCTTGGATGCGTTCTTCAATTCATGATTTTTGTTGTTTGTTTTCAGATGATTGTATAATACAATTTATGATATGTTGTAAATCATAATCAGTCATTTTAATTTTTGTCTATCAAGTAATAAATGAAGTACATTTGCTTCAAAGTTTGCGGTAAGTATCCAATTTGAGTCTCAATGAACAGTAGTAAGTCAGCTTAATGGGTTTGCACTTGGACCCATCCAGCTTTTTTTTTCACAAGTTGTTTCACGCCTCTAATTATACTCATTACCAACCATACAGTAGTTCTTAATTCTGTTGTTGTAGCTCTCATTTCATTTAATTGTCACTCGTCAACGTCCTACCTCGGGAAACCAGGTCTCTGGACGCAAAACGAAGATTGATTGATTGATTGAATTGTCACTCGTCAGTCATGTCACGACTACTTAACAACATTTCGTTATAATTTCCTCATTGATTTTACTTTTCAATTTTGCGGAACATGATTTTAATGAATTTGTTTTTTTTTATAGAACACACACACACACACACATAGTGAATAATTTTTGTGATCTGGTGATCACGCATAAGTGCACGTACGTGAATGAACGAACGTGTGTGAGTGACTTCTTTATTCGTATAATGATGATTAAATTAAAATACGCTGATGATTTCCAATTTGGTTTAATCCTCAATTATCATTTTGTTTTAATCATTATTCATGTAATAATTTTATTGAAATGTTGATGAGCAGTTGAAGGTAATCATTATTTGATCATGATCATTTTGTTGGTTATGCATGATTTTGTAGTCTTGTACATTAAATATAAAGTTTAAAAAAATTTTATTAGAAACGAGTAAAATGGTAGTTGAAATTTATATTGTCAAATTTATTTCGCCCAACGTGGCCTAACATTTAAAAACGTTTTCGCTATGGTCGTCGAACTTCTCGTGTACCGAACTTTGCGTTCGCATTTCCCCATGGGTTCTCACTTGAAACATGTTTGTAATGACAAACTCTAAAGAACTTCGTAAGGCTTGTGGGGGGACAAGTTGTTAGATGTAAAGGTTGCAAAGAAAATCAACTAAGGGAACGTTGAAGTGATTGGCAAGCAGCGGTATCTGATACGTTATTTCGTAATTGTTTCTTTCGCGTACATAAAAGGTCGTATTTGTTTTATGATCTTCAATAATTAGAAAAATTATCATTTCATGCTCATGACAGGCTTTTGTGATTCCGTCTCAAACATGAATTACGCAAGTTTAAAATATTGGCTACCATATTAGCAAATTTTATTGAAATAAAAATAACGTATTACGGCAGCTTTGCTCCAAAATAATTCAACATTGATAAGTTTATAACATTTAAAATATTGGCTACCACATTAGCAAATTTTATTGAAATAAAAATAACGTATTACGGCAGCTTTGCTCCAAAATAATTCAACATTGATAAGTTTATAACATTTATAGTGAATCATTCGTAGCTCTCTAATTGATCGATCATTTTTCTTGATTTACGGCGCAAATATTTGAAAAAAGAACCATCTACTCTGTCAAATAAATTTTGCAAAAATTGATCGTAAAAACAATTTGTTACTATTAAAATCATTAAAATTTATGTTGGAATGTATTTATTAATTATATTTTAATCAGGTTTAGATGTTTGTTGAGTTAATTAACAATATAGTAACCAACTATTTTGTGAGCGTTTTTGCTTGTCTTTATCGAAAAAATGCAAGTATTTTTTTCATTAACTGATAAATTTTCCATTATTCATATTTAATTACCTAGATTAAAATTGTTACACAGTATTTTTATATATAATTTCAAATACCTTAGCCACTTCAATTGATTTGTAAATACGATATCATGAATAAAATCTATAATACACGAATGTAGCTAGCACACTACTGACAATGCTGAATGAAGTAGGATAAATGTTGTTTCATCACATATGTTGAAAAATCGATGCTCCTACAACAATACAAAGGGTGGTCCGCGAAAACGTCTATGACATCTAAAGCACACAAACTGGTTGATGTTACTTTTTGAAACGAATTCTTATGATGGAATATACGTCTGATAGTTGATAAAATAATGGAATCTGGTTGTAGTGAATTTTTAAAAAATTGAAAATTGTCTTATTTGTAATATATAAACGGTGTGTGTTCATTTTAAAAATTCTCAAATCACAGAGAACGAAAACTGAGAAATAGCTAGGAAAATATTCTGCCACAAACTTTGGGGGATGGTCTTTCTAAAAATAGTTGTCACACTCGTGAACAATAAAGCATGAACATTTTAAATTAACAAAAACTTTTCCAATTCATTCTTCAGCCGTCAAGTGTTTGGCAAACCCCATTTTGAATACAATCATTTTTTTCAGTTCTTCCACCGCAATCTGTTCATCTAGCTTTATTACATTCGTAACTATTTTTACGTTAAACATTTTAATATTTAAGACCTTAAATCTTTTTTTCTGGTGCTAGATTTTTTCTAAAAATTTCTAACGGTCTTACAACTCACTGGATGCACATTTATCTTTGTCAACATTATGAAATACCACATTTTTGAAACAGGAACGTAACTATAGATATTTTACAACCTTTTCATCGCATACGTATTCGTTCAAATATAGCACAAACAAGTTAGCCTCTAACATTTTTATGGCTTCTAAGACGATTTCAAAACTCATCAAACCCAACAGCTCAAATGTTTATGTGCATTTTCTCAGTATTTTACAACTTTTTGTTGCAGTTTTTATAAAAATCGTACAGCAATCATTTGTTCTGGTAGGAAAAATAAGAATAAGATTGTGTCATCAAAAAGGTTTCATTGAGTAGAAATGTTTCGAAGCGATAGTTCTGAATTAGAAAATAAAATTTTTTTCAGTTTTCATTTATTTATTTTGGTATCAATATCATCGTGCCGAGATGCTGAAAAGGAAAATGTTGAATTGCAGAGGCTGTTTGTAATCATAGATATGCAAGTAGATGGAGGAGGCATCGTGAGATGATAAAACATGTTTCGTATGATTCAAAATTAAATTTTGAAATACCACGCATAGTTAAACAAACGTCGAACTCATAAATCAATAGACGTGTGTTCAGCTGATCCAAACAGCAGTCGGGCGAAAACTAAGGAAGGAAAACGAGATAGGTAACACATGTTTCGTCGTCGTTGAGCTATCAGATGGCGAGTTAGTCTGCTACGTACTAATTGCGAAACGCCTGATTATTATTGTCAATTATAAATTGTACAAAAATGAAGGAAAGCGTGGATAAAATTATTACATGATCCGTAGTGAATCAGTTAGTAGATTTAGAAAAGAACATAAATATAAAGTTATTTGTCGAACACACAAGCAAGAGAGGCATGCAAGAATATGACGAAGACGGCTGCAATACAACTTCATCTGTTGTACTTGTTGTACAGCGCAACAATTAAACATACATGATCGATGAGAGATGTTTTCATCAATAATGCTGCTGCTTCAGACGAATTATCATTTTTTATTGATGCCTTTCTAAACAGATTTTCATAAATATTCATGCTCTTTTTTAGTATCAGGTATAAAATAATATTAAGCTAACTCGTTTATTTAAGTGCGATAAATAAAGTTATTTTCTTCAAAATTTGACATAATTAGTTGTCGTTATTTTAAAATGAGCCTCTTTGCATAAAAATAAATAAATAAATTAAACTAAACAGAGGATTGAATGGATGATAAAACTAATGGCTAATGGAAAAACTTGATCTACTAAATTGCTAAATTAGTTGCAAAGAATAAATAAATGAGCCTAAGGACAGAGACAAAAAATAATCAAGCGAAATAAATCACGTTTGCCAGAGATCACACATTTTTCGTACAACGATGATAGTTAGCAGACGGATAAAAAAATACAGACAGACAGACAGACAGGCAGATAGGCAGGCAGGCAGATAGATCATTATCACTCACTCACTCACTCATGTATGTATGTTGCACAAATATGTTGTAGATATCAGTAAGGGCGTGTCTTATTTAATTGTTTAATGAGCAATAACATCAGTCGCTCGTTTAGCCGACTGGCTTGCCTGCTGACACCAATGTTTAACAAAGGAGTGACTAGGCTCTGCTTGTTTTTACATATCATTATCAACCTCATCTTCTTCCTCTTCATCATCGACATCACTCTAACCAGTACTATCACCCTCTGCGTCGTCATCATCATCATCTTATCATCCTTCTTCATTAAATGCATCATTGCTTTACTAATATTTTTTATCAGCATTAAATTCAGCATTGCACAATGACCACATTATTATCATCATTTTTTTTCATCATTCCTGTTTATCATCTTTTTTCACTAATGTTTATTTTTATTGCAATGATTTATATCTTAATAAATATCATTTTAATCATTATCATCATCATCTTCTACATCATCATCTCAAATTTCAGCATCATCCTTTGCCATCGCTATCAGAAGCATCAAACAGCAGTTTTAATATTTGCTGTTGTACGCTTAAATCGTCATCGTCGTCTTCGTCATTATAATCTATTATCGTTATCATTTTGTCATCACCATTATCATCCATCTTCATCATCACTATCATTGTCATTAATATCATCATCATCATCGTGGTCGTCATCATCGTCATCATCATCATCGTGGTCGTCATCATCGTCATCATCATCATCGTGGTCGTCATCATCGTCATCATCATCATCATCGTGGTCGTCGTCATCATCATCATCATCTTCATCTTCATCGACATCGTTGTCATTATCTTTATCGTTATCAATAGCATATCGTCAAGTTACCATCGTTATCATCCTCACGATCATCATCATCATCGTTATCTCTATCATCATCATCATCATTATCATCGTTATCATTATCAAGATCGTTATCACTATCATCGTCGTTATTATCATCATCGTCGTCGTCATTATCATTTTGGCTACCACGTGATAAATTAGCGAACGTTGGTGTGCATTGAATTTGATCAAAGATTTATTTTTTGTTATTATTATTATTTTTGTTATTGTTATTATTATTATTATCATTACCATCATCATTATTATTATTATTATTATTATTATTGTTGTTGTTGTTGTTTTATGGCTGTTTAATGATTTTATTTTTTGCAAGTTTCACAACATAACATTGAAATATATTTCATTATCATCCATATCAACAGCATCATCGTCTTCATCGTCGTCGTCATCATCATCGTCATCATCATCGTCATCATTTAATCATTGATTCCATTACCTTGTCATGACAAAATTTCAGGTGATCATAAAAAAATTAAATATTAGAATTATCTAATTAAAATCAGTGAAAGATTGAGATTAATTTTTTTTACTGAAAAATTTTTTTTACTGATTTTTGATTTCCTGAAAAATAAAATCTCCAAAACTGAAAAATAAAATCCCCAAAACTGATCGTGCTTTTTACTTCGATTACGTGATCTCATTCGCAAATTTAGAAAAAAATCAATTCGTTTCCTAATTATCATAACAATTTTCATCGTTATTATTTCATTATTAATTATAATATTATATTATATTATAAATTAAATTATATTAGTTAATTATAGCTACTTATTTTCAGTTTCGTAAATTGCATATATGGTTAGCACATAAATATACAAAGAATTTTTCAGTGAAATGTTTCGTATTAATTTGTTAATTAACAATGTTTTGAGCAAATATCGCCACGGCGTATATCAAATAATTGAATCATCCTATCATCATTATTATCATTATTATCACTATCGTTATTATCATATCTCTATATATCATCATCATTGTATCTCATTATCACTGCCATATCATCTGTACCAATAACCGATCCTTCATTTATCGCTGCATCACTGATTT